GGTGGCACTGCTGAAAGAAACCCTGGTACCATTAGACTCAAGCTATTCGGATGTCATTTGTGGTAGTTTATTTTAGTTCAACTGAAGAAGTAAGTTTACAAACATTTAGTCCATTCAATTATATTTCATTTGATAAAAAATTTTGTCTTACAAGCCCTACACTAATATTTTCCCATTATAATATGTGTACATGTGTGCTACACCCAGTTATTAGTAGGAGTCGCAATCCGGGATCCCGAAATTCAAAAATACCGGAATACTGGACCATATTTTGATGTTCGAAAAAACCGGGATTGGATTTATGAAAACCGGGATTTCATTTTCAATTTTTTTAAATCGTTTTTCTTAGTTTCCACGTCATAGTTATAGCAATGCATATCAATGTAATATCAATAATTGATGAGATGTGCAAAGCCATCACATCACGTGTCTCACGTTCAAAGAAAGCCGACCGACGGGCGAGATCTGTGTACTCTTATTGGTCAAGTATCACGACGTTGTGATTAGTTGGTTTGTTTTTATACATCGTGCAAGTGCATGCATAATGTGTAAGTGGCGACGAGTCACGACGTGAAGTTATAGGATTGCGAATGAAATGTTTTCATTTTATTGACCAATAAGTGATTGGTATAGTCGAATGAAGATCGAGTTTTGACTTCCTTTAAGAGTTTGTTTGGAAATAATAACACGTTACACTCAAATCACGGGGCCAACTTTTAATTAATTTTTTTTTTTTGAGTGCTTGATTTCTTTTAATTATGCCAAAAAACCGACATATTTAAAACTATGAGTAAATCCGTATTTGATAATCAAATACCGGGGTACCTTAAGTTTAAGACACAGAAAAATTATGTTACTTCTATTTTGTGATAACAATATTAATAATTTAAACTCAACTCATAACTGATGTTCGACCTATTTTGTCTCAAGCTGAATTTCCCACTTTGTCTATACCGTAACTAGCCAAAATTTACATGACTGAATGTCCCAATTGTTTTGTACCGTACTTAGCTAAACATTTATCTGACAATTTAAACACTTTAAAAAAGTTTTACACGTCAAACTAATTCGATTGAATTAATAATTTTTTTGTTAATGATTTATTTTCCCAATTTGATAGAAAGAAATGGGGTACCCTGAAAAAAATAATGCTAAATTTGAAAAGCATATGAAACTGTCTGAAACAAACAAACAAAAAACAGTTTGGTATCATTTCTTGCAAGCTACAGACAATATTTCAGCTCGATGTATTAGATGTAACAAGATACTTAAAATATTGGGAGGTACAACTTCAGGCCTTGACTCTCATTTAAAGTCTGCACATTCCAGTGACTACTTGGATGCATTTCTAAGGTCAGATTGCGACCAGATGCGAAAATATATCCTGGATATTCAAAAGCTTGGTCAGACAGCGGATTTCTCGTTGGAAATATCTACGAGCAATGAAATTAAACATCTTGGATCTGAGCATGACGAACTTGAAGATACACTGCCGCTTAAGAGACAATTAGAAATTGAAATACAAAAGAACCTTCAGGCTCAGGATAATACTTCCAGACTAACGGTTGGAGACATTGATACATTGGTAAATTTTGAAATGGCTTTATTTGAGAATGGCGGTTCAAGAGGAAAATATCTAGAAATTGCTTATGATAGCCTAAGATCTATTCCTCCGACCAATGTGGAGTCAGAGCGGGTGTTCTCTTCATCAGGTTACTTTTGCAACCATTTGCTGTTAAAGTTAAGTGACCCAACATTATACTTTGTCATTGTTACGTTTTCATTATTTAAATTTGACCAAAGTTTAAAACAAGACCAATTATTTTAATATTTGATTAATAAAACTATTTAAATTAAAAAGTTAAGAATATTATTTTCCTTCGTTTGATTAAAGTCTGAAAATAAACGTGTGTTTAAAAGCTTATTAAAAAGGAAAATGTGATATTTTTTTCTAAATGCTTTTATTTCATTGATAAATCCTCATCTGTAATCTCGAATCACCACTAAAAATTCTCTAAATATCGAAAATACCGGGATTCCGGTATTTGTATACTTCAATATCGAAAATACCGGTTTTGGCAAAAGGGACCGGTTTTGCGACCCCTAGTTGCTAGGGACAGGGTATACAAAATGTTGAGGTGGATAGGGTTAAAATAATAGGCAGCCACGATAATATGTTATATATTAACTTATCAAATAAATAAACTTATTTCTCTATGATTGTGTTGCAATCTAGAGATTATTATCATTATTAGAATTCTGTAAATGTAAAACAAACATATATAAATAATAATCACATGACATGTGAAAACAAGAGAGCCAACAATAGAAAATTTAGTTGACAATTTATTGTAATTATTGGTAAGTATGAATGAGTGAAAGAGATTGCATAAACTTAACATTGGATTTTAAGATTAACTAACTGCATTTCTATTCATAATCATATAAAAATGAAACTATAAATAAACAACTTTTAAGATGTCCAACTGCATCGCTATTAATAGAATGAACACATCTCTAACAGAGAATATTCTGAGCACATTGTTTAAAAAGAATCAACACTTTGTCTTCAATGAAACCAGTGGTCGGTATCAATGAAACCAGTGGTCGGTATCAATGAAACCAGTGGTCGGTATCGATGAAACCAGTGGTCGGTATCGATGAAACCAGTGGTCGGTATCGATGAAACCAGTGGTCGGTATCGATGAAACCAGTGGTCGGTATCAATGAAACCAGTGGTCGGTATCAATGAAATACGTTGCCCCAATGAAGTGACCGGAGTTGTCAGACAGACTGTTAACAACTCAATGTTAACAAAACAGAATTCCAAGGACAACATTTAAAATGCCTTTGCACCAATATGAAGTTTTGTAAAGCATGCAAATGTCAAGATAGAATTTAAAAGTTATTACAATGGAATATTTTATTAATTTTTTTTAAAGTTTTATGCGTTACTAGGGCTACCATGTTCAGTTGATTCTCAGCATTCACAAATTGTACAATTTGAATATCTTTGTTGTCTGGATTCTTCCTACCTTAAAAATCTAAGTATTATATATAATATAGCTATGGTGTCTTGATTCTGTCTTGGAGGTTCCCACTAGAAATATCCCATTTGGCAGCCCTGGGGGTGCCTATTAGTGACATCCCAGATGGCTCCTCTTGAGTGTCTACTAGTGAAATCCCATATGGCTCCCCTCGGGTGCCTACTAGAAGCATCCCATATGACTCTCCATGTCCAGTTATACTAATTACACCACTGTTTCAAGCAAATGTCATGTTAATGAATTTCAATACTCAGCTTGATAATTGCACCTTAAGGGCAGCCATTACAAAATGTTTAAGGCAGAAAGAACATTTAACCATAAAACAACATGCCTCATAAGATTTAACTACTAACATTAGGAATATTCATGGACAGTTAAATTATACATTAAAAAACAAAATACATTCAACGAATTAACTGTGCAAAATTTTCATCTTCAAAATAACATTTGGATTAGGGTTAGCTGGCCAGGTCATCTTCAAAATAACATTTGGGTGGCGCAACTATTAGTGGGCAAGGTCATCTTCCAAATAAAACATTTGGGTGGCGCAACTATTAGTGGGCAAGGTCATCTTCCAAATAAAACATTTGGGTGGCGCAACTATTAGTGGGCAAGGTCATCTTCCAAATAAAACATTTGGGTGGCGCAACTATTAGTGGGCAAGGTCATCTTCCAAATAAAACATTTGGGTGGCGCAACTATTAGTGGGCAAGGTCATCTTCCAAATAAAACATTTGGGTGGCGCAACTATTAGTGGGCAAGGTCATCTTCCAAATAAAACATTTGGGTGGCGCAACTATTAGTGGGCAAGGTCATCTTCCAAATAAAACATTTGGGTGGCGCAACTATTAGTGGGCAAGGTCATCTTCCAAATAAAACATTTGGGTGGCGCAACTATTAGTGGGCAAGGTCATCTTCCAAATAAAACATTTGGGTGGCGCAACTATTAGTGGGCAAGGTCATCTTCAAAATAACATTTGGGTGGCGCAACTATTAGCTGGCCAGGTCATCTTCAAAATAAAACATTTGGGTGGCGCAACTATTAGTTGGCAAGGTCATCTTCCAAATAAAACATTTGGGTGGCGCAACTATTAGTGGGCAAGGTCATCTTCCAAATAAAACATTTGGGTGGCGCAACTATTAGCTGGCCAGGTCAACCCTTAAACTCCACAAGTAGACCCGGTTGTCACATTGCGTCACCCCTAAACTCCACAAGTAGACCCGGTTGTCACATTGCGTCAGCCCTAAACTCCACAAGTAGACCCGGTTGTCACATTGCGTCACCCCTAAACTCCACAAGTAGACCCGGTTGTCACATTGTGTCACCCCTAAACTCCACAAGTAGAGCTGGTTGTCACATTGCGTCACTCCTAAACTCCACAAGTAGAGCTGGTTGTCACATTGCGTCACCCCTAAACTCCACAAGTAGACCCGGTTGTCACATTGTGTCACCCCTAAACTCCACAAGTAGAGCTGGTTGTCACATTGCGTCACTCCTAAACTCCACAAGTAGACCCGGTTGTCACATTGCGTCACCCCTAAACTCCACAAGTAGACCCGGTTGTCACATTGTGTCACCCCCCCAAACTCCACTTCTGTAATACCTCTCTGGAAGTAGCTTGTGCTCACGTGTATGCTTCTAATAACTTTCTCTAGCGTGATATTAAACAGGATACATGATAGCGAGTCTCCTTGTCTGAGGCCCTGATTAACAGGGAACTCCTTTGTGTATTCTCCCTGCACCTTGATTCTACTTTTGGAGTTAGCCATCATCAAATGTATGAGCCGTGTAAGCTTGTTAGGGACTCCAATTTCTTGTAAAACAGTGGTGCTCAACCTTTCTAATCCCGCGACCCTTTAATACAGTTCCTCGTGTTGTGTCGACCCTAACTAAAAAATTATTTTCGTTGATACTTTATAACTATAGATTATATGTGTTTTCAGAAGTTCTTAGGCGACCCATGAGAGACGGGATTTGCGTTGGTAACCGCTGTTGTAGAGCCTTGTATAAGTAATTCCTGTCTATGCTATCGTATGCTGCTTTGTAATCCATGAATAGTTGGTGTATGTCGATGTTATATTTGTAACATTTCTCCAGGAGACATCTTATAGTAAAAATATGATCTGTGGTTGACCTATTTCCATTAGTGATTTTAGAACTAAAATGTGTTCAAGCAGACGGCAGGAGCAGGCAATATTTATGAATTATTGATGCCAAGGAAGATGCTATTGTAAGGAGAATGAATTTTGATATTTTTATCGTAGAAAATGCCTTTTTGACTTATCAGTTTTTTTAAAGTGACCAAGCTGACAATCTCGGAATTTCCCTCATTCGTCCTCACTAGTGGCAATTTTATTAGGGATTCTTTGATATTGGATCAGATTGCTACGATTTACACAATTATGGTTGTGCATTACCCCCTAACTGACTTTTTAAACTTTTGATATATGTCTATACAATATTCAAAGCGTGTTTTCTCAAAACCGCACTTTGTCCATGTCTGTCTTATAAAATAAAAACATTTAATCTGATTTTAAAATGGTTTTTACTATTATAATTATAATCTACGTCCAAATCTATACAAACATATTAAAAATCAGAATTAGTCTAGTCGAAGAGATTCGATTGAAACCGTCGCAGAGGGTAACATTATAGATATGAGAATGAGGAAAGCGCGAAGGCCACGTTAACACTATACATTAGTGTCAGGCATCAGGCCACAAAATATCGTCTTTCGCGCCTCAAATCGGCAGCGGGCCATGACTTTGAGACCCCTGATATATAAAGTGTTAACTTCATGCAAATTGATATCAAGAACACCTTTATTCTTAGATAAAAAAGCGTAAAATGAAATTCTCTAAGTCAGCTTATTGCATCATCCGTTAGAATGATGAATTATTTATTTTGTTACTAGCCTGTGATAATGCCACTGAGGATAGAGTTTAAAATTTCTTTGTTACTAGCCTGTTATAATGCCACTTAGAACAGAGTTTAACATTTCTTTGTGACATTCAATTTTAAACCTACAAACAATTGTTGGTGTCATTTTGGAAATGTCTGCTTTTAATTCAAATAATACCAAGTGCAAAAAATAGTTTACAAATTTCTATCAAACATTTCTTTCAGCAGATTTATACTTCCCATATATTGCATCTCATGTAATATGCTGGCCTCCCGCCATCTGAAATAGACAAAACACTCTTTGACCATCATGAAATATTTAGGTTTTTAAAAATTTCAGCTATACATTAAAAAATTTCTGTATGTTTTGCAGTGTAATGAACTGAGTTACAGTGATTTATCCCAGAAAAAAGTTGGTATTATTGATTTATCCCAGCATAAACTAGGTATCAATGATATATCCCAGCATAAACCAGGTACCTGTATCATTGATTTATCCCAGCATAAACCAGGTATTATTCATTTATCCCAGCATAAACAAGGTATCAATGATTTATCCCAGAATAAACAAGTCATCATTCATTTATCCAATAATAAACCAGTTATTAATTTATGCCAGCAGTTAAAAAACAAACTACAAAAAGGAAGAAATCTTTATTTTATTGGATAAATATCACAGAGTTTACCTATTTATCACCTCCTTCCACCTGACACTACTTAACTATTTATCACCTCCTTCCACCTGACATACTACTTACCTATTTATCACCTCTTTCCAGCTGACATACTATCCACCTATTTATCACCTCTTTCCAGCCGACATAATACTTACCTATTTATCACCTCCTCCCACCTGACATAATACTTACTTATTTATCACCTCCTTTCACCTGACGTACTACTTACCTGTACCTATTTCTCACCTCCTTGCACCTGAGATACTACTTACCTATTTCTCACCTCCTTCCACCTGTTCATGTGATTGAGCAACAACTGATCACATGGAAGAATTGCCTTAGGATCCTGAAAATTACAAACATTTCTATAGTTATTGTATCAAGTAAACTTGCACAAATTTCAATAGTTATGGTATCTAATAAATGTGCACATTTCAATAGTAATTGTATTTATGTAACTTGCACATTTCAATAATAATTGTATTTATTTAACTTGCACATTTCAATAGTTATTTTATTTATTTAACTTGCACATTTCAATAGTTATTTTATTTATTTAACTTGCACATTTCAATAGTTAATTTAACAAACTTGCAAATTTCAATACTTATTGTATTTAATAAACTTGCACATTTCAATAGTTATTTTATTTATTTAACTTGCACATTTCAATAGTTATTTTATTTATTTAACTTGCACATTTTAATAGTTATTTTATTTATTTAACTTGCACATTTCAATAGTTAATTTAACAAACTTGCATATTTCAATAGTTATTGTATCTAATATAATAAACTTGCACATTTCAATAGTTATTGTATTTAATAAACTTGAAAATTTCAATAGTTTTTGTATTTATAAAGTTTAACAAGTCTGTCCTCTTCCTCCAATATATGTGATGGAGGTTTTCATCATCCTCCAAATCCAGTAGCTTGAGGCCATGGTGAAATTTTGCAGTCTCTGCAGCTGTTTTTGGTAGGTAACGGTAGTTAAAGCGTAAGTCCTGACGTGCAGGGCAGTGGAAGAGGTGATGTCTTACTTTTTCATTAGGTTAGATAACTGCAAAAAGGGCTAACTGCTTTCATCTGCTTTTATCTGGTTTAGGTGAGAATTAAGTTGTATGTTACCAGTGTGCAGGCAAAAGATTACAACCTGTTTATGTCCTTGAGGCAATTTATTAGATCTTTAGAGTCTTTGGTGTGTGTGAACACATATATTCCTGTTGAACCGATCCATTGTAGGACTTGCCCCTGTACACTTGAAACAAAAAACATCAGCCTTCCCAAGGGTACTTTTACCATGATTAAGTAAGAGGGTAGACTACCAAAAACATCAGCCTTCCCAAGGGTACTTTTACCATGATTAAGTAAGAGGGTAGACTACCAAAAACATCAGCCTTCCTAAGGGTACTTTTACCATGATTAAGTAAGAGGGTAGACTACCAAAAACATCAGCCTTCCTAAGGGTACTTTTACCATGATTAAGTAAGAGGGTAGACTACCAAAAACATCAGCCTTCCCAAGGGTACTTTTACCATGATTAAGTAAGAGGGTAGACTACCAAAAACATCAGCCTTCCTAAGGGTACTTTTACCATGATTAAGTAAGAGGGTAGACTACCAAAAACATCAGCCTTCCCAAGGGTACTTTTACCATGATTAAGTAAGAGGGTAGACTACCAAAAACATCAGCGTTCCCAAGGGTACTTTTACCATGATTAAGTAAGAGGGTAGACTACCAAAAACATCAGCCTTCCTAAGGGTACTTTTACCATGATTAAGTAAGAGGGTAGACTACCAAAAACATCAGCCTTCCCAAGGGTACTTTTACCATGATTAAGTAAGAGGGTAGACTACCAAAAACATCAGCCTTCCCAAGGGTACTTTTACCATGATTAAGTAAGAGGGTAGACTACCAAAAACATCAGCGTTCCCAAGGGTACTTTTACCATGATTAAGTAAGAGGGTAGACTACCAAAAACATCAGCCTTCCTAAGGGTACTTTTACCATGATTAAGTAAGAGGGTAAACTACCAAAATAACTTTTTTTTTTACTTAACCAACTTAGAACAACTTTTTTAATTATGGTCATGTTTAGCAATAAATAGAGATATAATTTCACCCTTTACAGGAAATAAAAGTGTATAAATGCCATGACAACTGGCAACCATCTTGAAACAAACACCTATTCATAGAGTTGTAAAATTAAATTATCCGGTAACAAACGTACATAACACTTGAGCAAGGATTGAATCATGAACTTTAAACTTTTAAAGTGAAAAATAAAATATTTATTTTTATAAAATTGTGATTTGACATACTTTTTTAAAGCGTCTTGGACATTATCATTTATAAATGCAATCAGTTGTACAGCATCTTGGACATCATCATTTATAAATGCAATCAGTTGTACAGCATCTTGGACATCATCATTTATAAATGCAATCAGTTGTACAGCATCTTGGACATCATCATTTATAAATGCAATCAGTTGTACAGCATCTTGGACATCATCATTTATAAATGCAATCAGTTGTACAGCATCTTGGACATCATCATTTATAAATGCAATCAGTTGTACAGCATCTTGGACATCATCATTTATAAACGCAATCAGTTGTACAGCATCTTGGACATCATCATTTATAAACGCAATCAATTGTACAGCATCTTGGACATCATCATTTATAAATGGAATCATTTGTACAGCATCTTGGACATCATCATTTATAAATGCAATCAGTTGTACAGCATCTTGGACATCATCATTTATAAATGCAATCAGTTGTACAGCATCTTGGACATCATCATTTATAAATGCAATCAGTTGTACAGCATCTTTGACATCATCATTTATAAATGCAATCAGTTGTACAGCATCTTGGACATCATCATTTATAAACGCAATCAGTTGTACAGCATCTTGGACATCATCATTTATAAATGGAATCATTTGTACAGCATCTTGGACATTATCATTTATAAATGCAATCAGTTGTACAGCATCTTGGACATCATCATTTATAAATGCAATCAGTTGTACAGCATCTTGGACATCATCATTTATAAATGCAATCAGTTGTACAGCATCTTTGACATCATCATTTATAAATGCAATCAGTTGTACAGCATCTTGGACATCATCATTTATAAACGCAATCAGTTGTACAGCATCTTGGACATCATCATCATTTATAAACGCAATCAGTTGTACAGCATCTTGGACATCATCATTTATAAATGCAATCAGTTGTACAGCATCTTTGACATCATCATTTATAAATGCAATCAGTTGTACAGCATCTTGGACATCATCATTTATAAATGCAAACAGTTGTACAGCATCTTTGACATCATCATTTATAAATGCAATCAGTTGTACAGCATCTTGGACATCATCATTTATAAACGCAATCAGTTGTACAGCATCTTGGACATCATCATCATTTATAAACGCAATCAGTTGTACAGCATCTTGGACATCATCATTTATAAATGCAATCAGTTGTACAGCATCTTTGACATCATCATTTATAAATGCAATCAGTTGTACAGCATCTTGGACATCATCATTTATAAATGCAATCAGTTGTACAGCATCTTGGACATCATCATCATTTATAAACGCAATCAGTTGTACAGCATCTTGGACATCATCATTTATAAACGCAATCAGTTGTACAGCATCTTGGACATCATCATTTATAAACGCAATCTGTTGTACAGCATCTTGGACATCATCATTTATAAACGCAATCAGTTGTACAGCATCTTGGACATCATCATTTATAAACGCAATCAGTTGTACAGCATCTTGGACATCATCATTTATAAACGCTATCATTTGTTGAAAGCACCAGGAACATTGGTTTCCCCTTCTTCAACTTTGTTGAGGTGCTCTCGCTCACTGTCTTTGTTTTTTTTAGATTTTTCCTATAATTGTTCTGTAATTTTATGTCAAACTGCTTATTCCATTGTGTAAATGTCCAATCTGAGCACTCTGATTACAATCATGACAGTGATTTTTTAAATGGGCAGCCAGACCACTTGTTTGTTTTTTCTTGTAATATGTTGCTTCTGCAATTTGAACATCCCACTGCTGATACGAGAGACTGAAGGAAGCTTTGATGGACAATTTTGTACAAGTTGTTGTCAATTATTCCCTCCGTAGCATTCTTATAAACAGTGAACTTCTGCTCCGTGCTGTTAGTTTAAGGTCCAGTACTTTCTGTCATGACTGCAGGCTCATTCAAGTCAGCATCCATAGATGAACTGGGGAAAAACACATCAAAATCAACTCACAAATATTTTTATTTATTAATCTCAGGTAGAATAATTATAATATTTCAGTTTGCATTAGGTCTACCATCAGAAAAATAATAAATTGACTTTGTAGTTGTGTGCCCCATTAAAATGAAATATAACTTGATTAGCTGAGGCCTTCATATGATTTAAATAACTGAATGATTCTCAATATATGCCCACTGACAAAAATCATGTTTTGTTAAAACCCCATGCTAACTAGTAAGGGTCATGTGTTCATCAATAACCATACAGTTCGTCAATCTCCATGTGGAACGTAAATAGCAAAAAAGTTTATATATATATATAAGTATACCAACTAAATCGTCAAGAATGGTCACACAAATAACACAAGTCTACAAAGTTTTACAAAGAGAATTCTACCACTAATACTAGTATGAACTATGATATGGTTTAGACATCATGGTCCTAATTTCAAGCATAATACTAGTACTAGCAAACTTACCTTGAATTCAAAGCTTTTGTTAGTTTCTGTGAGTGAGCGAATCCCTCTAGGTTTTTAAAAATTTTTCTTGCTTTCACCAAACCGGTAATCCTGCTTAGTAGGTATCTTAGAAGCGTGTATTATTTAGAGAAAAAATTGTTGAAAATGGATGCTGTCGAGAATGAGTCAGACTAAAAAATGTGCCGCCAGGAAGGAAATTCCAAGGAAAAAAAACTAGGCTGCGCATGCGTCAACAAATAAAAGTCATGGTTACTAACATTTTCCATTAATGAAAAAATCGTTTTTTATCATTTTTCATTTTTTTTATACATTTGAGGGATTGAATATTTATGGACAATCTACTTAATGGGCATGATAGTAAAATAGCCAATAAAATTACCTCTACGTTGATATATTATGGCACATTGTGATATTTTAAAATAGAGTTTTCTGGATGTCAAACAAGGTCTTAGTGTTAGAAATTTCACAATTACTATAAAATTAGGTCAACTTTTACAGTGTTGTAGGGAGTTCCACATCAATTGTTTATTTTTATCTCGGTTTTAACAAAGTATTAATTTATATGTAGTTGATTCTATTATTGTTGAACTCTCAAAAAATGAAAAATTTGATATTTCTGTTAAAATTAACATTTTTTTATCAGGCACCTACCCCCTTGAAGGGGGCTTCACATGTTTTGGTCAAAATGTGATCAATGCAATTGTGTGGTGCCGCTCCAGTTATATAGGTGGAACGGTAAGAAGAATATTATTTGATAGATTCATGGCATAGCCTCGTGAAATACTCTCCTACTATCTAACATCAAAGTCCCTGAATCTCTTTAATTTTGTCTCATATTTTACATACTTCTAAAATATTTTTGTTCGTTAAAATCTTATTTTTCCCAGCATAAATTTATAAATTCTTTTACTTCCTGTAATCTTTGAGACAAAACCCAATTTCTGTCAATAGCATAGCATAGCATTCATGGCACACTTCAAACACTTGAGTTTTTCAACTGTCTTCTATTTCTTATTGTTTCTTTTTATTGTCCTGTCTGTTGGAGAAGACTCATGGCCAAACGTTCTGTTTTTATTGTCCTGTCTGCTGAAGAAGGCTCTTGACTAAAACGTTCTGTTTTTATTGTCCCGTCTGCTGAAGAAGGCTCTTGACTAAAACGTTCTGTTTTTATTGTCTTGTCTGCTTAAGAAGGGTCATGGCCAAAACGTTCTGTTCTTATTGTCCCGTCTGCTGAAGAAGGCTCATGACTAAAACATTGTTTTTATTGTCTTGTCTTTATATTTCAAGCTTCCACACACCTAGTTCCACTTTTTCCTCCATTTAACAACCCTGATTTTTTTTTATCTGGGATGATCTGCATCACAGTGAGTGATTTAGATATGGTAGGCTGTTCATAGGAGGCTAGTGTGTCTGCTATTTCATTTCCTGGTATACTGTGATGTCTTAATATCCATTGTAAGGCTAGCCTGACTGCATAGGTTGATATTGAAAGATTTTGATGCTTGCTACCTGAACTATTGATTTGCAATCGGAGCAGATAACAACATTTCTGTGTTTGCTGGGGTTGACTGTAAAGATTGCAGACAAGTGGTGTCGTGCTCAGTCGAGAGCAGTCACTTCTGCTTCATAATTACATTAGATCAACCCACAGAAGTGGCAGTATTCATCACATGATCGGCTGGGTATTCTATTCTTACACCATTGTAAGCATGTAGGGCTCCTTTGAAAGCTGACCCATCTGTGTATATTCAGATTATATCCTCTCGGTAGAATGCTATGATGTTAACTATTAAGGATATAGAATGTTCATGTCTGTCTGATTTGTGATGTATAAATTTACCGAAATAGAAGTTGAGCAATTTTGATGGCAATGAGTTTTTGAATAGCATTAATAGTTCCCAGATGCAAGTCCCCATTCTAAGTTTAAGCATTTTATTTATTAGACATGCTTAAATACTTTAACTAAAAAAAGTTTTTTTTTAAAAATGACTATTTACAGCATCAAGGTCCAATCTGTCCTCTGGTTGAGGTAAAGGTTCAGGGATCCTCAAGTCATACAGACAGCCATCTTCTGATTTAATAGCTTGAGGCATTTCATAAACATTAGGGTAAAAATCAAGGCTTTGCTGAAATCAAATAATAGGAATAAACGTTTTAAAAATTAATTTTTGAAAGGTGGTTGACTAATATCAAGAAGACTTTTTAGAAGATACCAAAAACTGAATGGATAGTTTAGACAACATGTTTCAATTATCCTATTCTTTAGATAGTATACATAAGAGCAAAAATGTGATCAAGCAAACTTGAACACAGCAACTAAACACTCATGTATGACATTCAGAATACTTTGATTGAACATGACATTCAGAAGACTTTGATTGAACACACCAACTAAACACTCACGTATGAAATTCAGAATATTTTGATTGAACATACCAACTAAACACTTATGTATGACATTCAGAACACTTTGATTGAACATGACATTCAGAAGACTTTGATTGAACACAGCAACTAAACACTCACGTATAAAATTCAGAATACTTTGATTGAACATATCAACTAAACACTCATGTATGACATTCAGAACACTTTGATTGAACACACCAACTAAACACTCATCGTTGACATTCAGAATACTTTGATTGAACACACCAACTAAACACTCATGTATGACATTCAGAATAATTTGATTGAACACACCAACTAAACACTCATGTATGACTTTTAGAACACTTTGATTGAACATACCAGCTAAATACTCCTGTATGACATTCAGAACACTTTAATTTCTTAATATCTGGCAGAGTTTAAGCCCTATGCTGTGCTACATCTATTTGTACGGTGTTAATTCTCTTCTGGGGGCGAGGTGGTCAAAGTGATTAGTGCGCTGCGCTGCGGTACCAAGACATCAAAATAAATATCAATCAGTCATGGGTTTGAATCCCGGTGCTGGCACCCCTACGGGTAGATGATGCTCGTTAAAACCTTGGCTAGGAGAAGGAAACTCCGACTTCAAAAATCCTCCGCTGCCTTGCGGCTATACCCTTCGGGAAAGGCTAAGGGAGTAAACCCTGACAGAAAATCAAGGAAATGGAGCACCTACAGGCGGTCCATACATAAGACTCTTTTGTACATACCGGCAGCTCCTGCGACGCCAACGGCAGCCAAGCCGCATCGACGCAAGTCGTTCCCTTGGTTACACCATTGACGTGGAGAGGGTGGATATGCTGTATGGGCAGCAGCTAATTCTCCATAATACCCGCCCAGGCTTGCATCACCTCTGGAGAGGACACTCCAGCGTCGCCGCAAGGTGTCGACAAAACACGGGAAGCAGCAGTTACCGGTTATAAGCCAAAAGCTCAATTGACGTAGAGCTAGGCGCCAGGGGCTGCTTCCGACGGTGGGAGAGACTACCAATGTCTCACTGGACAGCTACCGCCCGCCTCAAACTGGGCAGCCCCCAGTCAAATAGGTGCTATCCCGTCATGGCCTGCCTTCTCCACTGGGTGCGTGGAGATTAGAGTACCACTCAACAAGTGGGCCACTAAGCCCTGCACCAAGAAACACAAAAAAGAAAAAGAAGACCCCAGCTCTTCGAATCGCTAGCTGGAACGTGAGGACTATGTGTCCCGGCATCACTGATGACCCGCAGTCAATAAACGACACACGGAAGACAGGAATAAGCGATAGAGAACTATAGATTGACATCGCTTGCCTTCAGGAGACCAGGCTCCCAGACAACGGTTCACTCAAAGAGGCAAATTACACTTTCTTCTGGCAAGGCAGACCAACAAACGAACCTAGACAGCATGGTGTAGGTTTCGCTGTTAAGAACACTCTTACACCATTCATTGATCCCCCGTCATCAGGCACGGAGAGGATCCTCACTCTAAGACTCAGAACAGCTGCGGGCCCAGCAAACATTCTTAGTGTATATGCCCCAACTCTCTGTTCAACTCCGGAAGAGAAGGACCAATTCTATGGAGCTTTAGACCAGGCAATAGCCAGCATCCACAAAGACGAGGCAATCTACCTCCTGGGAGATTTCAATGCTAGAGTGGGGAGCGACCACGAAGCCTGGCCCACATGCCTTGGACTCTTTGGAAGAGGAAAGATTAATGAAAATGGACAGAGGCTTCTGGCATTGTGCTGCTCACGAGGCTTGTGTGTGACCAACACTTACTTCAAGTGCAAGGATATACATCAAGTTTCTTGGAGACACCCTCGATCCCGCCAATGGCACCAGCTGGACCTCATCATCACCAGGCGTGCACAACTAGCTAGCATCCTACTCACTCGCAGCTATCACAGTGCCGACTGTGACACGGATCACTTCCTTGTCGCCAGCAAGGTACGAATAATGAGGAAAAACTCGTACCACTCCAAGAAAAAGGGATGTCCACGTATCAATACCTTCAGCATGAAAGACCCTGTGCTAACGCAGCTGTTCACAGACAAGGTGAAGGAAGGTATCTCAAGGATGTCCCCATGCGTCACCATTGACTCGAAATGGACGCATCTCAGAGACACAATCTATACATCCGCAATACAGGCCTTTGGCAAAAAATCTCACAAAAACACGGACTGGTTTGATGAACATTGGGACGAGATGAAACCTGTCACTGAAGCCAAAAGGAAAGCTCTTACGGCTTACAAGGAAAAGCCTACACCCGACAGGTTGCATGCCTTAAAAACAGCCAAGTCACTTGCCCAAAAGGTTGCACGTAATTGCGCCAATACCTACTGGCTTAACCTCTGTTCCAGCATACAGTCAGCTGCAGATATGGGCAATGCAAAAGCAATGTACGAAAACATCAAAAAGGCAACTGGCCCCTTGACGTCCAAAGTTGCTCCTCTAAAGTCCAAAAATGGAGAAATTATCCAAGACCGGGCAGCACAGCTAAAACGGTGGGTTGAGCATTATCTGGAATTGTATTCAACAGTTACCACAGTCTCCAGCACCGCTCTAGATGACATACCAGATATGCCACTCATGGAAGAACTTGATGTCGTGCCCTCACAGGAAGAGCTGAGCAAAGCTATTGATAGCCTAGCTTGTGGAAAAGCGCCTGGGGATGATGGAATACCACCAGAGGCTCTAAAGAGTGGTAAGATAGCTTTACTCCAACCATTGCACGAGATTCTGTCCCTCTGCTGGGAACAGGGCTACATCCCCCAAGACCTAAAGGATGCAAATATAGTGACACTATATAAAAACAAAGGTGATAGGAGTGATTGCAATAATTATCGCGGCATTTCACTCCTTAGTATTGTAGGAAAGGCCTTTGCCCGTGTCATACTAACACGTTTACAGAGTCTAGCATCCCGTGTCTATCCAGAATCTCAGTGCGGTTTCCGGTCTGGCCGGTCTACCATAGACATGGTGTTCTCCATACGACAGCTCCAGGAAAAATGCAGAGAGCAGCAGATGCCACTGTACATTGCCTTTGTGGACCTTACAAAAGCCTTTGATTACGTCAGTCGCAACGGGCTATTCAAAATACTGGCAAAAATCGGCTGTCCCCCTCACCTACTTGCCATCATCAGAGAGTTCCATGAAAATATGCAGGGTACAGTGCAGTTCGATGGAGCCAAGTCAGAAGCCTTTCCAGTCAGCAGCGGAGTTAAACAAGGTTGTGTACTCGCACCAACACTGTTCGCAATATTCTTCTCTGTACTACTTCGATACGCATTCAAGGATAGCAGTGAGGGAATCTGGTTACACACCAGAGCTGATGGAGGACTTTTCAACACTGCCCGCCTCCGAGCCAAGACCAAAACGACAGATGTCCTAATTCGCGAGCTACTATTTGCGGATGATGCGGCTCTAACCGCACACACAGAAATTGGTTTGCAACAACTCGTGTCAAGCTTCTCCAATGCCTGCAAGAATTTGGTCTGCAAATCAGCTTGAAAAAGACAAACATCATGGCCCAAGACACTCGACCGCCACCTAACATAAAAATCGATAACGAAAACTTGGAGGTTGTGGACAGCTTCACCAACTTGGGGTCCAAAGTCTCCAACACACTGTCCATTGAAGAAGAAATTAACAGCAGAATCGGCAAGGCAGCTGCCACAATGGCTAAACTAAATAAACGGGTCTGGAAAAACACCAAGCTAACGGAGAAAACCAAACTGTGCGTCTATCGAGCTTGTGTCATCAGTACACTACTATACGGGAGCGAGACATGGACCACCTATACATCCCAAGAGCGCAAGCTTAATAGCTTCCATATGAGATGCCTGCGTCGCATCCTTGGTATTAAATGGCAAGAAAAAGTGACTAATAGTGAGGTCCTAATGCGTGCGAATACCCAAAGCATGTTCACAATCCTTAGTGAAAGACGCCTGAGGTGGCTAGGTCATGTTAAAAGAATGAGTCCCGGCCGCATTCCGAAAGACCTCCTATATGGTGAACTTGCTTCGGGAAAGAGGAAAACAGGTCGCCCACGTCTGCGATTTAAAGATGTCTGTCAAAGGGACATGAAAGCAGCCAAAATACATACAAGTGACTGGGAGTGTAAGGCAAAAGACCGATCTACGTGGCGCACAGTTGTCAAAGAGGGCGTCATGGTAGCCGAGGAGCGAAGAATGGAAGAGGCTGCAGACAGAAGAGCTAGGAGAAAGGCCAAAACATTTAGAAGCACGGAACTCGTGTGTAAAAACTGTGGTAAAGACTGTCACTCAAGGATAGGACTGCACAGCCACTCGAGAAAATGCAACCCAACCAAACGGTGATGCACCATCGTCTCACGAGACGGAAGGATGCCGATAGTAAATTCTCTTCTCAATTTTATACTTTCTTAGAGTTTACAGGCAATAAATTTAAAAGTTTGTACAGGCTAGGGAAGATGCATAATTCAACATTGACATTCATGTTATTCTTTTAACATTCATTTTATGTTCCAAAAAACTTGATTTCTCAAACAAAAGCAGATTTAATATGTAACACAATATTTGACTTTATACAGATACAATAATATTATGGGGTATATTATACATATCATATTACAATAAATATACCTCCTCATCTAACTTTGGCGAGGATGGTCTTTCACTGAGTGTGCCCAAAGTTTTGTCATGAGGTCGGTTTTGTAGCCATGCCCTGCAAACAGGATAGAGTGGCGTGTCTTCAGGAAACAGAGCGAGATCAACACTCCGATCAAACAGCTTCATGATGACAGTCTCTGAAATGTCAACATTACAAAACAACTTTACATAACTGCAGGAAGTAAAGTTTAAATACAAGATTACTTTTACTTTACAAAACTGCAGGAAATAAAAGCTTCCATACCAGTTTACTTTACAAAACTGCAGGAAGTAAAGTTTCCATACCAGTTCACTTTACAAAACTGCAGGAAGTAAATTTTCCATATCTTACCAGTTTACTTTACAAAACTGCAGGAAGTAAAGCTTCCATACCAGTTAACTTCTTTTTCTTCAATGTGTTAGTAATATATTTTAATTGGCTATTTTCAAAAGTGACCACACAGAAATCTGGTAATTTTCTCAGGTTGCACATCAATACTTCAAGCAGCTAAGCAATACCACCTTACAACAAATGTAACATCACAACTTTAAACACAACAACTACTCAATGCAGTCAGCTTAACCTATGAATGGATACAGGATATGAAAAATGAAAAACCAGGATACAGCAATAGACAGGTAAAAAACAGGATACAGCAATAGACAGGTAAAAACCAGGATACAGCAATAGACAGGTAAAAACCAGGATACAGCAATAGACAGGTAAAAACCAGGATACAGCAATAGACAGGTAAAAACCAGGATACAGCAATAGACAGGTAAAAAAAAAAATCATCAAAATGCCCCACTGCAAATATCCAAATGAGCTAGTATCAATGCCCATCACTCCAGTAATTGTTAGCAAGAAATATAAGACCATACTAACACCCTAATATTATAGCATTCATGTCCCCTTCTTGTTTGTTTTTGATACTGATATCACGATTAAATATGTAGCACTGCAACAAACCCCCCTCCTTTTCTTTGGGAAAAGTTTGTTAACGTTCGAATAAACTCTAATTTGTTCTAAAGAATGCTATCAGCTGATCTTTTCTGGATGAAATGTTCGAACTTTCTCCCTATAAATAACCCGGCAACTTTCCCAACCAAGGGACATTTTTGCTATCCATCCTTCACAATGGTGTGGGCTTCGCAGGACTGGGATTATTCTTCAAGTTCAAGGATTATAAGCTGGGTTCCCAACAGCAAATCGCCTCTCTCCACGCCACTGGATAGCCCAAGGGAAGATGATACGACTTGGCCCCATTGGTGTCACAGGAGTTCTCGGAATGTTTCATTTTACCTTCGGGACTCCATCTCCAGGTTTGATTTCAGAGTTTCCGTCTCTTAGAAGAGTTGCCATCCAAGGGTTGACGAGTCCCATCTACCCGGGGTGCTGGTGATGTTTTTGCTTGAGTGGGCTTTGGCTGGAATTGAACTCCAGACCACCAATTTGCTGTTTAGACCACTCGGCCACGCAGCACACTAGTCATTAACAAGACGTAATACAAGATTGCAATCTTTATGTGTGTGTATTTATTAATAATATTAATATTTGCATCTTTCAATGATTATACTTTTTAACTTGTTATGGTGTAATTTAATAAAGCTTTTATTTTTGTCTATTTAATTTTGTATATTTTTAATCCAAATTAAATAGTCAAATCAATTTGAATATTATTAATATCACTAGCTTTGGTATTGTTTTTTTTTTGTGTACTTGTTAAATCATGTAACAGTAACATTGACTACAAGTTGTCTGTTCTCTGTCACAACTTTTTCTTGGATTCCTGCACTTCCTATCTAACCGAACTTCTTTCTGTCTATTCACCCCTTCTACAGCTTCGCTCCTCTGCAGACACGCGTATTCTGTCCATTCCCAAGACACACACTAAAACATATGGTGAACGATCTTTCTCTTTCTGCGCCCCCAAACAATGGAATTCTTTGCCACTACACATACGCAATATACCAACCACCCAGGCCTTCAAAACTGCACTCAAAACACATCTTTTTAAATTATACTACCCTGAGTGATTCCCCTCCTCTGACCGATAAACGATCTTGCTGGCTGCCGTCCATGGTTTGCCTTGTAAAAGTTATGTGTTGGGGTGGGTGAATATACATTTTTTTGCTGTTCTTTATTTCATAAATGTATTTTATTTTAATGTCATGATTATGTCTCTTTTGATAAAATTTTTATGTACAGTGCGGTGAACCCAGCCCTAGGCTGGGGTACCTTGCTATATAAGACCCCTTATTATTATTATTATTAACACTATTTCCAGGCATAGACACAGAGAAACTAAGGAAGACATGGCTACTGGATGATGAAAAGTGTCCTTAAAAGATTCAAGTTCCACATAATCATTCATTAAAAAAACAGCTTAACCAAAATCAAGTACTCCTAATTATGAGTTGCAACCCATAGCAATCATTCATGAGAGTTGCAACCAATAGCAATCATTCATGAGAGTTGCAACCAATAGCAATCATTCATGATAATTGCAACCAATAACAATCATTCATGAGAGTTGCAACCAATAGCAATCATTCATGAAAGAAATACATCATTATTTTAATTGATTATTCATAGAATATTTATACAATCTACTGAAATGTATTATTTTTTTTGCACTGTTACACAATCTATTTGAACTCCCATTAAAAAATGCAACAGCTAAAATAAGCACAAAGATGAAACCTACAGTATTATTCTATCACCATAGAAATTGAACAAAAGCAGTATGAAATTTATATACTGGCTTTTTTAACATAAATTATGATGTTGCATTATAAAATATAAATCAGTGTAAGACAACTCTAACTAAAGCCATCACCAGAATTCAGCTGGTTAATAACAGTTCATTGGGAAGGCAATCAACCCTTTATGAAACCGTTCACTTACGCTGCTCATCAACATTTTCATAATCACTGGTATCGTCCCGTCTCTTTCGTTTTCTGCTTGTCTTGGAAGCTGATTTTCTGGGTGATGGTTTGCTGGAATAAAAAATAAAATCATTTTCAGAGGAAAAGTTTGTTTTAAAGATATCCATTGTTTGTTTTAAAGTAATACGATTGTTTTAAAGTAATATGTTTGTTTTAAAGTAATATGTTTGTTTTAAAGTAATACGTTTGTTTTAAAGTAATACGTTTGTTTTAAAGTAATACAACGTTTGTTTTAAAGTAATACGTTTGTTTTAAAGTTACGCAACAATTGTTTTAAAGTAATACATTGTTTTTTTTTAAGTTTTACAATGTTTGTTTTAAAGTTATGCAAGGTTTGTTTTAAGTAATACATTGTCTTTTCTTTATGGTTAACACTTGTGACATTATTATATATATTTGTGCTCTATGTTTAGCACATTGCATTGTCTTTTCTTTATGGTTAACACTTGTGACATTATTATATACATTTGTGCTCTATGTTTAGCACATTGCATTGTCTTTTCTTTATGGTTAAGACTTGTGACATTATTATATACATTTGTGCTCTATGTTTAGCACATTGCATTGTCTTTTCTTTATGGTTAACACTTGTGACATTATGATATACATTTGTGCTCTATGTTTAGCACATTGCATTGTCTTTTCTTTAGGTTAACACTAGTGACATTATTATATACAATTGTGCTCTATGTTTAGAACATTGCATCGTCTTTTTCTCATGGGGCAAAATCTTCTCAACTCTTTTCCATGCACTCCAATATGACCGCTAGCATGGTTCCTTACTATCTATGATTAGAATCCCTGTATCTCTACACTCATGAAAGTGTGATTTCTACTCAATAGTCAATGAATATCAAATATCATTATGTTACTGTAAACAAACATTCGGATGTCTTCCTGTAACAGCACCACTAGTTAAAAGTAAACAAACACTTGGATGTCTTCTTGTAACAGCACAACTAGTTAAAAGTAAACAAGGCAAAATGTGTAATTAGTAATTGTAACACATCTACTCTGACATGGCATGGGATCTTATTTCTTATGCTGTGGGTTATGTCAGTAGTATGGTTACTTATGTTATGTTAATACTTCAGGATGCCGACTAAGTCTTCTTCATTCTTTCACTTATTATCCAGGCACGAAAAGAAGAATACTCAATTCTAGTTAAAACTCACAGTACTTTATTGAACACACTTTATACTGATAATATTAATGATAATCCTTGCATGAATGTAATTTCACATATATATATAGTATTATTCCATCATTCAGAAAGACACGTCCTCACGCTACTATAACTCAGCTCAACTGTCTAATCACACAGCTCTCCTTATATCAGTCAACTCATACTTTATTACCAGCAAAGCGTGGAAAACAACCGCTCTGACAAAAACATAATTTTACTCTCCAAAAACGTGGAGCTCACATTTGCATCTCAAAAATACAATCCATTGATTGTCTCTCCTTGTGGAAAAAAACATGGTCAACACAATTCACTGTTCACTCATGTTACCTCTCTGTTTTCATGTGAAAACATAGTCCGTTACAGTAATTTAATAAATTAATTGTAAAAACTTTTTAATGTAAAAACAAATAAACACTCCACAATTTTTCAGCAGTGCACAATATTAAAGTGATCTTGTCAGCTCTCTGGCCTTTGTTTGAGCAGTGCACAATATTAAAGTGATCTTGTCAGCTCTCTGGCCTTTGTTTGAGCAGTGCACAATATTAAAGTGATCTTGTCAGCTCTCTGGCCTTTGTTTGAGCAGTGTACAATATTAAAGTGATCTTGTCAGCTCTCTGGCCTTTGTTTGAGCAGTGTACAATATTAAAGTGATCTTGTCAGCTCTCTGGCCTTTGTTTGAGCAGTGCACAATATTAAAGTGATCTTGTCAGCTCTCTGGCCTTTGTTTGAGCAGTGCACAATATTAAAGTGATCTTGTCAGCTCTCTGGCCTTTGTTTGAGCAGTGCACAATATTAAAGTGATCTTGTCAGCTCTCTGGCCTTTGTTTGAGCAGTGCACAATATTAAAGTGATCTTGTCAGCTCTCTGGCCTTTGTTTGAGCAGTGCACAATATTAAAGTGATCTTGTCAGCTCTCTGGCCTTTGAGCAGTGCACAATATTAAAGTGATCTTGTCAGCTCTCTGGCCTTTGTTTGAGCAGTGCACAATATTAAAGTGATCTTGTCAGCTCTCTGGCCTTTGTTTAGCAAATTCTAAAACTAAATTTTATGCTGAAATTTATGTGCCATGTAAATATATTCTGGTTGATCTAAAAAAAAACAATTTTAAAGAAACAGAGACATGTTATCAGTATGGAGAAATTAATCTCTCAACTTTACGAAAGCCAATCAATAGAATAAAACCCGGACTGATACCAATGGAAATCGACCTATGCATGGATATGGACATGATTTTTTGGATTGTGACTTGGAATGTACTAAGCCTGTTTAGAGCAGGAGCCTTAGCCAACCTTGTAAATCAGCTGGTCAAATATAAATATAAAATATCTATTGTTGCATTGCAAGAAATTCAATGGAACAAAAAACGATACCATAATTTAAATACAATAACAAAGAATACAATACTCAAACCAAGCTAATTACAATTAATAAATTTTAAATTATAAATTACAAAATCAGAAAGAAATATAAATAAAGCTATTGACTTGTACCGGTACAATGTTGAAAAAGATACAATGTTGTAAAAAGGTACAATGATGAAAAGAAATCTACACACATACAGTAAACAGATCTCTCGTCTCGTAGCAAAGCTCTATAGCAAAAATAGCACACGCTCAAAATAACTCTAGTCTGATCTGCCTCTCAATCTCTCTAGGCGTTTAAATAACCTGCTTCATGGATACTTCTAGAAGAGACTACGCATTGTATTTCCTTCTCGATACTTCTACATAATTCTAATAATAATACAGACCATTGATTTTATTTAGTTGTAACCGAGGTCAGGGAGACTTTATTTAGTTAGCCAAACCCTAACAGTGCTGCCGAACTTGGGGTCAGCTTAAGTTTATTCACCACAAAGGATGAATGAAAATAAACGAGACCACAAGATTAAGTTTGTGAAAAAACTTTCAAAACTGTTAATCCATTCTCCAACTCAAATTAGTAAAATGTATTTTCTGCATAGCTCAATTACATCATAACCTTTCAAGTAATCTTGGACGATGGACTCAACATTAACATGTCACTGAACATATTCAAATGTACTATTAACATGTCACATGTCATTGAACATATTCAAATGTACTATTAACATGTCACATGTCATTTAACATCTTGAAATGTACTATTAACATGTAAAATTTAAATGCAATATTAACATATAATATTTAAATGTGATATTGAAATGTAATAAATGGATGTAATATTCAAATGTAATAGTAACATGTCATTAGGGTTACCATAAGTCCTCAGATGAAAAAGAGGACACTCAAAATTTTCATCAATTCCTGCTGTCACCCCGTAGCCTACGCCAACATTTAGTGTTGTACAAATAAAAGTAAAGTTAAACTACATAAAATTTTGTTCTTAGTGTAAATCGTTTCAATTATAATTATTATTTAGTGAGTGTTCAGAATACATTACATTACACTGACTGATTTTTTTGGTGCAATATGAGGATCAGGTAAAATTGTTTTTGATAAGCGACAACTGCAGTGCATTCATTTATAACTGCATGTGATGGTGCTTGACAGCATAAAACCCCAATATCCCTTCAGCTGCTGAAATAGACTCATCGTTTTTTAAATCTGGTGTTACGATAAAATGTAACTTAGGTAGATGAAGTTTAATCAGAGAATAATCTTAACATTTTGATGTGCGCCATTTAAAGTCTTATTGTATTATTGGCAAAGGAGATATAACTATATGTTCCGCTGCCGCATATCAAACATTCAGCATCCCAGTCTTATCAACCTGCGCAAAAACCTGACTATTGGGTTTTTAATGAGTCTGTTAATAAACATGTTTTAACATTTTTTAAATCAATATTTTTATGAACTTGAAAAATAAATTATTTATTTTTTTATCTTGAGCTTATTTTACCATTATTTGTTATGTTTACAAAAATGGCTTCCAGAACATGAAGTTACGGTAGTTACCTTAGTAACCCATACCATTGAAATAAATATTAATGGTGGGCGTTTTTAGTTCACGGAACAGAATAGTATATATAACAAAGAAAAGTAAGTAAGAAGGTTTTGATTGGGTATGGACTGGGGAAAAGACTGAACAAAAGACATATTTCTGGAACGCCGTCGGGACAGGGGCCTACAAAGAGGAAATGTATGGGGAAATCCAGACTCTTGGTAACCCTATAAATCATATTTAAAATGTAATTTTAACATGTAATATTTAAATGAAATAGTAACATGTAATAATTAAATCCATTGAGGATTTTGGCGAATTGATTCCCTTAATTTTTATATTAAACCATGTATATGTTGATGAGTTGGTTGGTTTTTATCTAAGTACAGCAAATGGACTACTACTACCTTACAGAATCTGTTAGGGGTGCACTGCTTTCACCTTCACTTGTTTCATGGCTGAAAAAAAATGATAGATTATTTTATTAAGCATTTTACTTATAACAGATGCTCCAATAGTTTTAATATTACAGTAAATATTTTACTTTTAACAAATGCTCCAATAGTTTTAATATTACAGTAAATATTTTACTTATAACTGATGGTCCAATAGTTTTAATATTACAGTAAATATTTTACTTATAACTGATGCTCCAACAGTTTTAAAGTTTCTAAATCAGCTTCTTTAATTCTAATTATTTATTGATCTGTCTGTATTATTTGCGCCAAAGAACTACCACAATGGACATACTGTACAATAAACTAATTAACTGCTACCTACTGTACAATACACTAAAAAACTGCCACCTAGTGTACAATGAACTAAAGAACTACCATACCACAACTGACCTACTGTACAATAAACTAAAGACCTATCTCAATTAACCAACTGCACAATTAAAAAGATCCACATAGATTTTTTTTTTACCCTTTTTTTTTTTTAATCATGAGCCTTATAAATTATGTAATACAATATTATTCCTTTTGTTAATGTTGGTTAAAACCAACAATTGAAAAGAGAACAAATAATATTAACCAAACAAGAAGTACATTTACAAACCATTCCTCTTTTCTGTCAACCAAATGTTGAAGAGTTGCATCCAATCTGATTCTTGCAGAATTTACTTCAGCTGAAATATTAAAACATTCTTCTTTTAAAAAAAGAGAACCATATCAATTCCTTGAACCATATCGCATTTTTTATTACCGTAATTCTCTCTTTCCCCGTTTCAGCATTGCTTCCTTCCAGAATGAATTATTAACCCCCACTTTGTTTTGGTAATATACCCAAGTATTTTTTTCTATTTGTTTGCAAGATACTCAGTAAATTACTTGGTAGAAAAATAGATTTTAAAATTAACAATAGTTTTAAATCATTCGCGATCATGAGGCAAGGCTGACGGATAAATATCTCGCGCCACTTTGTTACGGCAGTCATTTGTCTTGGTTGCTGGACATATATCTTGATAAAGTATTCTGCCGGCGGTCATGTGACTTGGTCGCCGGACAAATACAGCAGGAGATATACGTCTGGCGCACCGTACGTGTAGACACTGCCTATTTGATAACTTGTTGACTTGTGTTTCAGAATGAATTTAGAGGGCATTTAAACCGGAATATTTTCATTTGAGGTTTAAAAACCCAGCAGAGGCCATATTATCAATTATCATAATTTTCCGGGTGCAAAATCTCAGAGTTTCAATCATAAGAGTTTGCTGTGTGTGAAATGATCTTGTGGGGACTGGGGAGACCCCTCCCCCAAATTTCAAAAATTTAAAAAGAGAAGAAAAAAATTTGCATTAAGTGAACACAAACATAAATATCGAAATCTCTTGAATACGGCGATGTCCACTGTCGTAAATGAAAGTTGACCTGGGGGAACCTCCATGACCTATTACTATAGCCTATACTATATCTATATATTATATAGTTTTACATAGGCCTAGGCAGGTACTTAGATATGAGGCTATTTTGACGCAATCGCGGCCCAGAGGGGTTTGAGACGCTTTTTTGGGTGTGCTGGATGATAGGGTTCACTAAAAAATTATTTTTTGCTCAAGAAACGTCGGATCAACGAACGAATTACTGTTCTATTTACGTTAATGAACGGGCTTTGACGACATCCATTTTTTTTCAGTAATATCAGTATGTCATGAATAAAAAAAAATTTGAGAAAGCAGCTAAGTCTAATTTATCAATATTTTGAAAACTATTCGATGTCCCATGTTAAATCGACCTGGTGTACCTGTAAAATTGTATCAAAAATGACCATGTAAAATTTCAAGTCTCTAAGATGGCCATAACAATATTATTTTGGGCCAGAACAGTCTAAAACTTGAAAAAAATATTAAAATGGCCGAAAACGAAAGTGACAAACCAGAAACAGTATTATTTATGACTAGTTAACAGATAAGAAAGCCCAAGAAATTATATAATGCTTAAAGCAATCAAGTTCCATCTTAATTAATATTAGGTTTTATTGTAATATTAATATCTATACAATAATAGACATATTAAACTAATATTTTATCAGATATAGCACCGTTTCAAATGAAATCATAATTTTTATTTTAAAATTTCCACTATAATATTTCCTGTTTTTAAATAAATTACGTTTGGTCTTTAATTTTTTTTAATTATATATTTTTTTTTAAAGTTTTTTAATTACATTTTTAAAATATTCGATTTAGTTTTTAAAGCAATTAAGATAGCCACTTTGATGAAAATTTCAAAACATTTTTAAAAATATATAAATACTACAGCTGTATAGAGCCTGGAGAATAGATAACAAAAACACCAAGATCAACTTTCTAGCTCAAGTGGTTCAAAAGTTATGAATTTTTTAGTAGGGACCTCAAAACCACTTTTTTACTATGGGATTTTCCTCCACATTTGTGACCCTCATTTTGTTTTTTTTTTAACACTATACCTTTATTATAAAATGAGACAAAAATATAATATTTACAGGGATCATAGTTAAATAAGAGTACTTCTAAATAAAGCCACAAAATATACATTAGTTTTTGTTAATGTGCCGCAAATATTAAAAAAACAACTTTATTATTTGCCTATTAAATATGTATAAAAATGCTGACTCATCACTTATTTGTAATTAATTAATTAAAATTTTGTTTTAATTTTGTTTTTAATTTCCCAACAATCATAATAATAATAATATTCTTTAGATATTAATTGCAGAATTTTTGTGGAATTGTTTAGCATTTATAAGCATAAACAAATAATAAAGGGATTATTTGTTTTATTTATTTAAAATTGACAATTACACTTTTTATTTTACTATTTTCTACATATGTATACTATTTATTATATTATTCCTATGAGTATGACAAAACAATCAGCATGTCATTTATTTTAAGTTTCTAATCATGTTTTACAAATCCACATGTATTATTAGAATCAACTTTGACTTTAGCTGTTAATAAAATAAGTTCTAGTCATTTACTAGAGGTAAGTACAGGTTATTACGATTGTTCTTTAATAATATCTTAAGTAATTCTTGGATTGTAGTGCCAGAAAGTGTGTTTTTTCTTTGAGAAACCGAGGATTATATAATAATTCTCTTGTGGAATATTGTGATATGTGATTAAATATAGGATATTTCAATACCAAAGGTAAGTGAATATTTCAAAATGTTTTACTTAGTTTATGCCTTAAGTAAGAATCACAATATTCATTAAAATTTTATTACATATCCTAAAATATCATTAAATATAATTTATTATAATAGGCCCTACAAATTAGTTGGGTTGGGTCTAGGCCTTAACCCTGATATAGTATACTTTGTATTATACTATATTATATGTATACAAGGCCTCTAGCCTAATGCATAATGGTCATTATATATTATTATATATATACAAATAAATATTTATCTATAAAGATATAAACTAATATAAATGATAAATATATTAGTTGTAATAAAAGCTATTTATCCCACTCCTTAAATCATTTATAATAGTATAAATAATATTATAATACTTAAACTACGCCTATCACTATCTAAGTCAAAGACAAGAGCTTATCATTCCCATGTCAGTGTCAGCCAGGTCCATGGCAACCAACCCAAAAATTAAAATCACTGATATTCAATAAGCCAATATAATTATTTATGTTATAAAACATTTTTTATTTATATAAAATGATTTATTATTAGTTATAATTCCCATTTACACTCTGGATAACAACTTAATGAATTATTAATTACCCCACGGCTGCTATCGATAATTGGAAATAAGCAGACAAGCACAGTGGCCATGATGACCAATTACATAGCCTAAAAAAATGACATCTTGGAAATTCGTTTTTGAAGCCCACCCCTGGTCTACACTCATGAATTTTGGATATGTTTTAAATGAACATATAAACTAAAAGAGCGGAGTATTTTTATTTAAGAGCGCATTTTTTAACAAAAGTTATTCTTGAGTGAAGTTGACCAATTTTTAACTTCAATTTTCAAAGCTTTAATCTTGACCCAAAAAATCAAACGAACTCTTAATATAACAGGAAAGATGTCGGCTTTAAGTAATTGGCGGAAGTAAAATTATATTATTATGCTAAAAATCGATTATGAAACGCGAAACGATACCCTCAGTAAATTAAAAAGTAGAGGTCGCCAAAATGACAACGAAATTACGATACCCGTTTTTCGGGTATTTCCGGTCGATACCGAGGTCCCTAATTAAGATGTTGACAATGTTGATAATAGGATGATGAACACTTCTGGAAAGTTTCATATTATTTGTCTACTCTGCTATAAAGTTATGAACCTTTTTGTAAAAAAAAATTTGAAAAGTGGTCACAAATCTCTAACTCTATGACTATGATGTCTATGAATGTCTTTCTATGTTATTATTAATAATTAATAGTGTAGTATAGTTTGAAAAAAAGTGAGTTTTTATTCATGAAAAAAAATCATAACTTTTTAAACAAAAGTGCTTCATGAAAACATATCATTACTTCATTTAACAAGGGTTATCTTACAGATGTGTTCATTTAACTTAATTCCTTCAATTTGAAAATTTTATCCAATTTAAATTACCTACTTAAAGTTAGTCTAAAGTCTAAACTAGTGCCTAGGCCTAGGCCTAGGCTTGACAAAATTGTAGTTGTAGTTTTGGTGAAACTGCCTAAATTTTAAGTGAAGAATTAGTATTCTACTTTAAAAGTAATATTCATTTACCTTGTTTTCCTTTACTTGCCATCAGGATTTATTAATGTATCAAATTATTGACAAATTGTAAATAGTTCATTTAGTTTTTATTTGTTTCAGTTTGTTAAGATTTAGTGTAACTTCATAATGTCCGCCATTTTGTTCGTTTCATTTCATTCATATCCGGCCATGTAATTATATTTTCGTTTACCTTAATCTCATTAATGGAAAATATTAATATTAGAGAAAGAAGTGAAATCGTTTTTAACATTAGTGAAGCACTGAATTGACATAAAAACAAAATTTTGCATAAGTCACAACATGTTTTTAAAAAAAATTTCATCGTTGTTTTTTTTTTTAATTAAATCAAAGTTTGAATGTATCTTTTAAAAAATATCACAAAAATCAGGCAGTATTTTTTTTTTATAATACCAGTACCAGTGAGCACGGTTGATTATGTATAATAAAGAAAATATAAATATGCCTTTTGACATTTTCGACAGGACTTTGCCGCTTTGCCCATACATACTATAGGCCTATTAATTTTTACAATGTCAAAGAGCCTATGATCTGTGACTAATCTGGCATTTCAGCAAAAACTATCTTGTCAATTATTTTAACAGTTCTGGGTTTTTAATCATTGCCAAGCATTAAGATGAGGGGAGAATGTGGTAGACCTCGTTTTGAAACTTACTAAGCATATTTGTATGTTGACTTTCTTTCATTTTTTTTTCCAAATGACGTGTGAGTGGAGATAATTAATTGCCAAAGCTATGACTATCTTTACTAACAGTAATTTAATTGCCAAAAGCTATGACTATCTTTACTAACATTAATTTAATTAAAATTGCCAAAAGCTATAACTATCCAGAGCCGTTCTTATGAATTTGGGGGCCCTAAGCATGGAGCATAGGTGGGGGCCCCGGAAGGGGGGGTTCCGGGGTGGAGCTCCCTCGAGCTGAGGAGAAAACACCACCCACCACTGCGGCACCTCCATTCTGCCTTCATCAATGTTACCTCTTTCCCATTCCCACGGCCAAGCCCCCGATTTCCTGTCTGCCACCCCTTGCTGCTTCCCTTCCCCTGCCTCCGAATTCAACTCAGAATGATAAATTTCAGGATGAGGAAGGTAACGTGAGTGACACAGACGGCTGCAGTGCCAGTTTTAAAAAAAAAACGGGGGATCGAGGGCGCCTCACGGGGCCCCATAACGTTCGGGGTCCGACGTGGATGCGTAGTCAATGTATGCCTAAGAACGGGCCTGAACTATCTTTACTAACATTAATTTAATTTCCAAACGCTGTAAATTTTTTTATTAACAGTCATTTAATTGCCAAAAGATATGACTATCTTTACTAACAGTAATTTAATTGCCAAAAGATATGACTATCTTTACTAACATTAATTTAATTGTTAAAAGCAATGACTATCTTTACTAACAGTAATTTAATTGCCAAAAGATATGACTATCTTTACTAACATTAATTTAATTGTTAAAAGCAATGACTATCTTTACTAACAGTAATTTAATTGCCAAAAGATATGACTATCTTTACTAACATTAATTTAATTGTTAAAAGCAATGACTATCTTTACTAACAGTAATTTAATTGCCAAAAGATATGACTATCTTTACTAACATTAATTTAATTGTTAAAAGCAATGACTATCTTTACTAACAGTAATTTAATTGCCAAAAGATATGACTATCTTTACTAACATTAATTTAATTGTTAAAAGCAATGACTATCTTTACTAACAGTAATTTAATTGCCAAAAGATATGACTATCTTTACTAACATTAATTTAATTGTTAAAAGCAATGACTATCTTTACTAACAGTAATTTAATTGCCAAAAGATATGACTATCTTTACTAACATTAATTTAATTGTTAAAAGCAATGACTATCTTTACTAACAGTAATTTAATTGCCAAAAGATATGACTATCTTTACTAACATTAATTTAATTGTTAAAAGCAATGACTATCTTTACTAACAGTAATTTAATTGCCAAAAGATATGACTATCTTTACTAACATTAATTTAATTGTTAAAAGCTATGACTATCTTTACTAACAGTAATTTAATTGCCAAAAAATATGACAATCTTTACTACCAGTAATTTAATCAACTATTGGCCATGGAAACTAGTATACAGGCATGGGCGCCCGCTGGGGGGCAAGGGGGGTACTTGCCACCCCCCCCCCCCTAGATTGATTGGATTTTTAAAAATTTAGACAAAAATAGACAAAAAATTTATTAAAGTAAAGACAAAAAAAAGAGAAAATAACTAAGCTGTCCGTTCGTTCACCATAAAAAAACGCTACAGTAAAAGAAAACTACATTAAAACATTACTAAAAAAAATTCCCCCCCCCCTAGAAAGTTAATCGATTTTTTTGCCCCCCCCCCCCTCCTAGAAAGTTTTCTGCGGGCGCCCATGTATACAGGCAGTGCCGAATTAAGACATGAAGGCAGTGTCGAATTAAGACATGCAGGCAGTGCCAAATTAAGACTAGCTGGTAGTTCTGGATTGAGATATGCAGGCAGTTCTGGATTACTTAAGACATGCAGGCAGTGGCGTAGCTGGGAGGTGCCGGGGAGCGGACCGCACCGGGGCCTACCATCTTAGAGGGTGGCATCAAGTTGAAAAATTGCATATTTACTGAGCACCCACTGCTTGGTCTAACCGAATTTCATAAAATAAAATGTAACTATCGTAAGTGACAGGAAGCTATATTTATCTTAATACTGAGAAATAAAGCTTTCCATTCAAAGCAAATACGATGTGGTCGGGTGATTTGAAGTTCGTGAATCGATTAGGTAAAAATTAAAAACATAATTAATGACTTTATACGCATTTTTTGGGTAAACTAAACAAAATAATATTTCACAACATTTTCTCATGTTTTTTAATAATTAATTTAAATCTATTTTAAAATTTTAAAAAAAAGAAAAAGATTTTTGAAACCAAATATATCGAAACCCAGAGACACTTATTACTTATAAACAAATATTTTTTTCTGATTCGTCACTAGCCCGCCCCTTAACATTTGAGTACAATTGACAGGTTTGCAGCTTTGAAGACCAGGGAAGGAAAAGCTTAAATATTAAATTAAATTTATTATAAAAAAATAAATATAACTTAACGTTGTTACAATTCTAAAATAAGTACATTTACCTCCAGACCCTCAATTTTTTTTATCATTATTGTTACACTATAGACTTATTTTAACAAAAAGAAATACATCGTGGACGGGGCGGGGGGGGGGGAGGCACACCGTGAGTTACCGCACCGGGTGACACCAACCCTAGCTACGCCATTGAAGTGAATAAGCGTTATTTGTGTTCGTTCCAAAATTAACCTCTTTTTGTAATGACTTATCAGAACTTTTATAATAATAAATACATCGTGGACGGGGCGGGGGGGGGGGAGGCACACCGTGAGTTACCGCACCGGGTGACACCAACCCTAGCTACGCCACTGAAGTGAATAAGCGTTATTTGTGTTCGTTCCAAAATTAACCTCTTTTTGTGATGACTTATCAGAACTTTTAGAATAAATACCAAGACCAAGAAGACACTAAAGGCAGCTTATATTGAATTTCACAAATTCAAGGACTGGTGAGTATTAGATGTTTTGAAATTCATAGCTGAATGGGACTTCCTAGAATTTCTTCCAATACTCTCGCTAAGCCTTCAATTGTTTCTTACGATCTGTGAGTCTGTGGCTTCATGTGAGCTGAACTTAAAAAAAACTAAGGCTTATCAAGAACTAATTACGATCCATCCATGGGCGCCCGCAGGTAGGGGCAAGGGGGGGGCGCAGCTTTGAAGCCCGGGAAGAGAAAATGTTAAATGAAGTAAATTTAATGCAAATATAATTATAATTTAACGTTATTACAGTTATGAAATTAAAAAAACAACAACTCCTGACCATCAATTAATTTGTTTGTTTTTTTTCATTGTAATACTGTGGACTTATTTTAACAATAACAAATCCATCGTGAAAGTCGGGGGAGGGTGACATCATGAGTTTACCGCACCGGGTGACACCACCCCAGTAGGCCTTACTGTGTTTCTTTATGATATTTAGCTTCTCAGTACCCTCCACCCCGGGGTAGGCCAAGTGCCCCCCCCCCCCCCCAAAAAAATCTGAAGTGCCCCCCACCCCCGGGGGGGGGGGAAATTTCTGAAATAATCACTGCTCAGTACCATGACTCTGGATAGTCTAAAAACTGTTTGAATAGTTATGCATACATGCCGTTGAAAAGTGGTGATTCGCTTGATGTATATTATTATGGTTAAAACTGGTTTTACTGTAAATTTAAAAAAAAATTATCTTCTGGAGGGCCCATCCATGTAAAAGTAAAATAAATTTGATGGCGGGAATTTCACACCCTATGTGAAAAGTGAGGGGATTATATTAAAGTTGGGGAATATTCTTTAAATCAAGTAAAATATTATGAATCTTTTTAGAAGTTTTAATGGTCTCCTTTATATTTAAAGTTAGTAGTTTTAGTTATAATCAATTATGTTGAGAGTGAGTTGTTTTGACAGTGACTCGGATAAGGTATTGGAATCAATTGGTATCGAATACTCAGATTAATTAAATGTATTCGATTAATAACTCTTTAATGAAAAAAGATTTAAATCTGAGGATACTCATATCGTGTCTTGTGTTCTAATTTTTTTTTTTTTAAGAAAAATTACGGCAGGTCTAAATGCAACTAATAGTTTTTAAAATAATTTTTTTGCCGATTAAAAATATTATTAGCCTATTTGAGTTATTTATATTTACGCACACTGAATGTAATATATTTTATAAATCATATAAAATTGCAATAGAGTTTTATTTCTGGTGTATACTATAATTTTTAGAGTACGTCACGTTCAGTAAATTAGAGTAACTGACCAACTTAGTAACTGGTCCATTTGTGTTCAAAAAGAATCAGAAAAATGTAAATATGAAAGTAGTAAGTTGAGAATGTGCCTTCTTGAAGTTTTGCTCTCCGCCTCGGTTTTACAACCATTTTATTTTTCTCGCCTATCACCGAAATTTGACCATGCCATAGACCATAGCCGATAGGCCTTAGTCAATAGTCTGTTGCGTTTCTTAATAATATTTAAGGAATAGCTAGTTATCGCCCCTGTTTTAATAGATGAGGGCGCCAGCGATGTTAATTTTTACTAATAAAAATACAACTCCGCCATTTTCTTAGTGTAACACTATCACTAATAACCATCTGGTTGGTCTATCAATTAGTGCATGTTTCACCACTGTGTTCTGAGCTTAACATGATTGTGCTTTATCACATCTTTAAACAGTGTAAGGCCTACTTGAGGAGGCAATTGCTAGACTTTATTTTAGGCATTTTCTACTTTCAATTTCATAATATGTGAATAAAGTAAAACTAGGAAGGCCAGGAAGGGGCTACTTTTCTACAATTTCAATTACTATCATTACATGATGTCATCAATCATGGTCATGATATTATTGATATAGATTATTATAGTTATAAGCTTAATATTATTGTTAGGCCAAATGAGTTTCTTTGAAGTTTTACTGAACGAAAAATGGTTGAGTCACCGATAAATCCTCAAGCACAGAAATCCTCTAGTCCAAATGTTTCTGTTGTTACTGAATCACAGCAGACCTCAGAGAAATTTGTTCAACTTAAATGAAGTTAAATCCCAGTAGTGTAGCCTTAGTGCCCTTAGCGGGCAGTAGCTAGTAGCCCTATGCCTGCCTATATACTATATTTATTCGAAGTGTCTACACGTCCGTCGCGCCGGACAAATAGTGCGCAAGATATATGTCCGGCGGCATGTCACGCTAGTAGTTTTTATTATTCCGAACGAAGTGCAGTTTGGTAGATCTTCCGTGGTCTAGTGGTAGAGTGGTTGCTTAATGTTATGATGTGAGGATCAATTCCGGGGAAAGGATATTTTTTTTCCCATTTTAATTAAAAATATTTTATACTATATTTTTATTATCATGTTCATCAGCAACAGTAGTTTCATGAGAAGTTTTTAAATATTTTGTAGCAATTTAAACAATTAAAAATGAAATCTTTTACTTTTATTGGTTGCCTACTCCACACTGGCCCCTAATTTATTTTATGGATTACTGGTACACAAACTCAAATAACAAACAAAACAAAAATGTTTACAAGCCACTTTCAGTTTTTTTCTATTATTTGCATTCGAGATACTAAGAACATTACTTGGTAGAGAAATAGATTTTAAAATTAACAATTTAATAACAATAGTTTTGAATCATTCGCAGTCGTCACGTGACAAGGCTGACCGACAAGATATCTCTCGCCACTTTGTTATGGCTGTTGTGTGACATGGTCGCCGGACAAATAGTGCGGGAGATATACGTCCGGCCGGACGTGTAGACACTGCCATATTTATTCCTATGACCTATGCCGCAGCGCTAACTATGAGTAACATTAATTAAGGTGACCATTTTAGTTTTAAGTTTAAAACCAGGACATTTGATTTTGAAATTTAAGAAACATTTTATAAATTTTTTAAAAAGTTTTGGCTTTATGGGTGTCTATGTAAGTGACATAATGATTTAGTGGCATATAAATTATAAATGGCTAAGATGTACTTAGTGTTAAGGCCTGCAATGTCTTCCACTCTCTATAGTCTATATAGTAATGGAAGTTCCTCAGGCTACTAACTGGCCATAGTTCGGTATTCAAAAAATTGTGTCTTTATCTTCAAAAAACATTCTTAATCAAAAACGTATTTCTCCGCAGAAATTTATGTTTTAAATGTACCATGAAATGGCCACATGGCAAAAATGAATAGCGTACAGCTATTTCTTTTTTCTACCAATCAAATGACCGCACTTCAAGTCATGTGCACATCTTTTTTCCACCTGTGCTCAAGTGTATATCAGCAAATATGAGTTTCTTTTTTTTTTTTAACCTAGCAATTGTAATTTGAATTTTAATAAAAGAAAGAATGATAATTTTCGTATATTTCATATTAACTGTACCGGTATAGATTGTCAGAATTAGTTTATGATGCGAATAATGTTCAGTGAAGAATGGGAAAGTTATTATACAATTCATGCTATCCAACTATTGATCAAGTGTTTGGATTCCCCAAAGTGAAGTCACTGCACTTAGGGGGAGACAGCTCTTTGCAAAACCCATACTATTAAGTACACCTTTACCCTAATAAACTGTTATTTGTGATTTCACTGAGAACTTGGCCTTATGCGTTTGTTTGAAAAATTTATGATCGAGGTGTGAATTTGAATCTATGTATTTCATATATTTTTTAGTTGTTATTCATTTATGCAAGGATATACGATCTGTTTACTTGATATTTTGTTAAATTAATTATTTTTTTATTGTAGATAAACTTTTGGATCTTAACTTTAATTTTATTGGTTACAACTTACTACTAATTTGGACCAATGTCATGAAATCAGTAAAACCACAACACCCCCCCCCCCCCACACCAAAGTAAAGTATCTGCATTGGTAAATACAGCATGAATGGTCAACCTACTTAAGAGGCATGTCTGCCAAAGCTATTTTAAGCTTTGCAATTCAATAGTAAAATTTGGGTACCTGCATAGTATTAGGCCTAATGGACTAATTATTAATTAAAAAATTAATAAGGCTAAGGATTATGTCTCATAATAATAATATACTATGCCTATATATATTTATAAATAAATATATATATACACTAGCGGATATACATTTGGAACGAAGGAACTTCTACAGTCTTATAATTATTCCGATCCCAGTGGGCTCCCAATCCCGCTTCTGTTAGTATACCGTTTCCCGGTGGATTCCCTCTGGATCCAAATTCCGGTATGATCCCAATCCCGTCGGTATTTTGATCCCAGGGGGATACCAATAGCTGTCGGATCCTGATACCGGTGGGGTACCGATCTCGGTAGGTTTAAATTTTCCTATAGGATTCCACTCCGAGTGGGATCCCGTTTCTTGGTGGGATCCTCTTCTCTAATACGATCTATTTCCCAAAAAGATCCTGATCCCGGTTTGATCCCGTTACCAGATTGGATAGCATTACAGTTGGTTTCATTTTAATGCTGGATCTCATTAACGTTACTATTACTATAATAGTAAGCCATTATGGTTGGCCACCCTGTTCTGCAACAAATTAGATTTCTTTTAAAACAAAGTAAATGACAGTGCTACTATATTTAGTTGTCTTTTCCGTTAGTAAATTTTTATCCATATGAATGTAATGATCATTATGATGTTAGTAAATTTGTATCCATATGAATGTAATGATCATTATGATGTTAGTAAATTTGTATCCATATGAATGTAATGATCATTATGATGTTAGTAAATTTGTATCCATATGAATGTAATGATCATTATGATGTTAGTAAATTTGTATCCATATGAATGTAATGATCATTATGATGTTAGTAAATTTGTATCCATATGAATGTAATGATCATTATGATGTTAGTAAATTTGTATCCATATGAATGTAATGATCATTATGTTGTTAGTAAATTTGTATCCATATGAATGTAATGATCATTATGTTGGCAGAACATTTTTAAAAAAAAACAACAGAATACAGTTTAAAACATTATTTACAATGGCAATGTATTAAAAAAATTCCCTGGTCACCCAAATAAGACAAGAGATGTGTATAGAGTTATTATGTCATCTGATGAAAGAGCTTTTAGCTGAAGTATTTTTTACTTTGTTCTGTCTTATCTAAGTAAAGCTTCACTTTACTTGCATACACATATACTTATGCTTTTTTTATACGTTTTAATCAGCCGAACCCTCTTATTGTAATATTCTGTTGAAATGTCATTGCAATGAGATATTAGTTACCGGTACAATTTAATCATCTTTATTATTTTTTTCAGTTATCCAGAAAGAATGCTTTGTTTGATTAAACAGGATGTGCAACTTATTGACAGTTGGATAACAAGGAACATGTAATATTGCATCCACCATGGAGGCAGATGTTGAATCAAGTGAAAAGAACATTGTTGAGACAATGAATAGTTCAGACACTAATAAACAAGACAAAGGCTCTCCCAGTGGTGATGTGAATAAAGAAAATTCAACTTCAGTTATAAGCCTCGATCCTCTGAATACACCCATCACTACCCAGGATACATCTTTCAATGCTCAGAATACACCTATCAAAATCAGTACCCCAACTTCTGTTCTTGTTGAAAATGATGTTTCTGATGAGGATACAGACAGTGCTCTAGTTATTATAGATGAAAGCTCTTCAGAGGATGGTCATACAAATGTAAATGTGCCTTATAGAACATGCCCCACTGAAATTCAATCTGACAATCTTGTAAAAGAAGCTTTTAGCAAAAAAATGCAGTCAGATACCCAGATTACCTCTGTGCCTCCTCCCAATGAGGGTAAATCTGTTGCTGTTTGTTCTCTCTCTGGTGACAATCAAGCAAAGTCATCAACACCATCATCTTCTACAAGTTCTCAAACATCTAAAACATCTAAAACAAAGAAAACTCCCAAAAGCTTAGGTAAGTTCTCTGTAGTATTGGAAGACTTTAAATCATACTTTTCAAAGTGCAGTAGAGCGTAGATTTTCCAACTAATTGACACAGGGATGTTTTACATAACAAAACACACCCAGAAAAAGTTTGTGTTAACAAAGTTAGAGCATAGAATACTACAAGTATCATTATCATGCTTTACTGAACAGTCTATTAACAGCATGGTGTATGGAGGTAAGCTGATTAATGTAAAAACTGGGGAGTACTCAAATTTTTAAAAATGAAAAGTCTTAGTTTCCAAAAATAGATGGCTTGCACTAGAAATAAGTATAAGGAAAGGTCACTTGATCTTTGTAAAAGTGTATTCTGTGATATACCCTGTTTTCAGAGCACCGGTGCAATCAGGATATGGCAGTAAAGTTATATTTTAAAAATAGCATCAAACACTTATAGGCTTATAATCAGGAACGACCTATACTCAGAACTATACAGTTTATTAACAAGTTGGAAGTGCTTCATGCCATACACATTGTGTACAATAATAATAATAAAAAAGACACGGCCGAAATCAACGTTTCAATGAATGGGAATTAGGAAAATCAACACTCTACTTTAATTCAAATAAATTATACTTTTAATTTAACTTTAATTCAAATAAATTATACTTTTAATTTATTCAGCAGGAAATTAGACAACAATTTTAAAAAAAAAATATTTAAAATCATATTTAAAACCCTGCAGTTTTGTGTTTTTAATATTTCTTAAACTGCCAAACTATTTATTTTTAGCTCCAGAAAGTGTTTTGGATAAGAATGACATTGAACATTTGAGGACTCCCTTTAAATATGGTGAGTATTGATATATATTTCTTGAGTGCTGCCCATAGTGCTTCTTTTGAATGAATGTCTGAATCTCAACTGTTTTTAATAACATTATTATGTATTACTTACAATAATTAGTTTTGAAAATTAAAATTTGGGTGCAATTAAACAAGAATATTATTTGAAACACAAAACATGGCCAAAAATTAATAAAGGAAAAATTACATCTGAAATGTTTTTTGTTTTTTTTTTTTAAATATTATTGCACACATACTAATTTTTCCTCATCTGTACCCTAAATATCTTTTTTTAAACATAAGTTACTTTTCTAAAAATAATAAATGCCAGAAAAAATGTTCAGAATAAATATTTTTAGACATTCAAGTTAGCGTTTGTCAAGTTGGACAGGACGTGACTTGTGAATTTACACAACTAGATATGGACAAAAAATTTGCTGATCGTTTTCAACAGTATGGTTTTGTAAACATATGTAGAAATTACAGCCTCAAAAAAAAAAATCAATTTGTTTATTTTCAGGCTGGAAAAGAGAGATAGTATTTCGTAACACCCAAGACACAAGCAGTAAACAAAGATCTCTATGTGATGTTTATTATTTCCCTCCAAACGGAAAGAAGTTGGTTAGTATATCTTAACTTTTTATTTCAAGAGGTTTAATTTGTTTGATTTATGGTTAAATTTGTTTGATTTATGGTTAAATTTGTTTGATTTATGGTTAAATTTGTTTGATTTATGGTTAAATTTGTTTGATTTATGGTTAAATTTGTTTGATTTATGGTTAAATTTGTTTGATTTATGTTAAATTTGTTTGATGTATGGTTTTGTTTGTTTTATGGCTTAATTTTATTTTTAGCATGTTTAATGTAACTGAAATATGGATGTTGTTTTTTCCACAGAGATCAATGGTGGATATAGCTAACTATTGTAAGTGTTCTTATTTTAGTAGTTATTCAGTAGTAAGTATTTTAAACAAAGAAATTCTGTTTACTTACATGCGAAAACGCAGGATCAAAAACTGTACAAAAAATCACACATACTATAAAACTGCATGAAAAACTGTTCAGAAAGAAAGAAAATATGGAGAAAAAATTATAATTTATAACTTTTTCATTTCCTTACCAATGTTTTGAATGCATGAAGGCATGTACACTTTGCCTTCTTGATAATTTCTGGATTAGTTTGAAAACTGGAACAACAGGTGGTAATTTATTACTGAAAATAGGCGTGATTACAATGAAATGTGAACACATTATCTGATAGAATATCTACACAGTAGGGCTGAGAAAAAAAGTTTTAATAGAGGTAGAATTTCCCTTTCTGACTCAAAGTTTCGATTGTGCAATTTTGCTTTATTATAAGCTTTAATGTCATAAGAGGCTTAAGAAAGTAATTCTATGTTCTTGTTTTGTGTGTGCAAATTGCATGGGATGATCCAATTATTGAAACATAGACAATTCAAGTTTATTTGGCCCTCTTGTGTGTCTAATATCAAATAATTATTAGGTTCGTTTGGAAGTGTCCAGCTGGAAATAAAATGACAATTTAAAAAATATATTATTATTTATTATTATTAGTAGTAGTTTTAAATAGCCCTGTACCCTAGGGATGGGCTGGCCACGTTGTACATGCAATTTAACAAACATAACCATGAACTTAAAAATTAACATACATTAATTAAATAGAGAAATATAATATACGAATCTCAGTGATTTTCTGCTCTCAGTAACAAGCATATATAGTTTTCAATGAAGAAGATTTCACTGTGACAACTGCTTTAGTTTTAGAAAGGGTTATTGCATTCATTTAAGCAATGCCATAGTAATAAGGAGGCATGATGACTAAAGCTGTTCATTGTTGGTAATATTAAATATATTTAAATATCCAAGTATTGAGAAATGTATCTTTGAAATGGAGCTCCTTTTCTAAAGTTAGGTGGCCTACCGATATAAACTTTGGGGTAAAGGTCATTTTGAACGGACCAGTTGGATTTAAACTTCCAGTTGACCAATGTTGCATTTATTGTATTGCCAGTGTGAGCAAGTTCAATAGCAAATTTTTTGTTTTCTAAATCAAATGAGAAAAAATGTACAAAATCCTATATGGATAATGTTAAAAAAAACTCAAAAAGTATGGGTAAACCATGCATGTGTCATGTATGTATCTACCACATAATTAATTTTCTATGTAAAATTTTATTTTCAGTGAATAAACAGAATAATTCTAATGTGAATCTTACACACTTCACTTTCAAGCGCATGGCATTGTTTAATTCACCAGAGGAATTAGTACGTAATGCCGGTCAGTCTAAAAGAAAGGCCTCTGACAATTCACCACAGAAAGAAGTCAACACTAAAAAATTGACTCCGGCTGTGCAGAAGAAAAAGTTTAGTTCTGTATCTCCAGTGTCATCTAAATTATCTTCCAAACTTTTTAAAACCAACCTTCTCAAAACCATAAACAATACTGAACGAAAAATAGTTGAGTCACCGATAGGTCCTCAAGCACAGAAACCCTCTAGTCCAAATATTTCTGTTGTTACATCGACTGAAACACAGCAGACCTCTGAGAATGTCAGGCGCTTTTCAAGAGTCCCTTTTGGTATTCGCATAAGACCTCCTAAATCGGATCAGAAGCTAATTCGTTACAAACGGAAACCTTTATCACCAGAATGGCAACCAACTTCATCAGATGATTCCGATTCACTTGACTCAACTGGCAGAACAGTCGAGGTTCTTAAAGCTGGTGTTGGATCAGTTGGTGAAGGGGCAGGTGACGATGAATACATGCAAACTGTGTATGGTGCTCCCTCAAATCTCATTGCATCCATTGTTAGACAAGAGCCACAGAAAAGACATGCTGATGCTAACACTAACACAGAGCCAGCCGCAAAAATAAGGATATTACCTGCATCATCCCAAACACAGCAGGCTCCACAGAAATATGTGTACGTATCTGGCCTCTAGACTTTGGATTTTAACATTTACCCGGTACATTATTATTGTTGCTTTGGGATGTATTATGTTCAATCATAGTATATTTAGAGTTTAATTATTTTTAAATAAGCGAACTGAGAAGTTATATTTTTAGTTGAACAGCACTGTTGCAAGCATAAATAAACTCCAGCATTATTACCATGACTTAATTTGAACACTGTGAAAAAGGTCACAATTATGGTATACATTCTTGGTTCAGATAGTTTGTACCCAATGTAAACAAAGCCTTAACCTAAATGATTATGTCTATTTTTAGTGCTGATCCACCATTGCAGTCTTCAGTATCTCAAGGAAGAAAATTTTGCAGTTTGGCGTGCCCTGGATTACTGAACATTTTTCCAAGTCATGTCTGCACTTTATGCAAAAGTCTTTTCCATTCTCAGTGTTCTCAACCAAAGGGTCCTCTCAAAACATTATCACCCATCTGCTTTGTAAGTTTGTTAAATTAAATATTACATGTAAAATTTTAAAACTTTAATGATTATACATGCAATGCAATATAAATAAAATGACGTTGGCTTAACCAGTAGTGTACCAAATTCTGTAGCTGCAAAGAACTATGTCGGTGGTATTTGATAAAGTGTTTTTTTGATAGACCATTGGATTTATTAATCTGATCAATTTGGTAAGATGTAATTAAACACTAGTTATTTTTCTTAGGAGAAGCAACCATTTAGTCCATCTACAACTCTAGATCTCAGTGCACCCAATGACTAGATTAAAGTGCATCGAATGACTAGATCAAAGTGCACCCCAATGACTGGATCAAATTGCATCCAATGACTAGATCAAAGTGCACCCAATGACTGGATCAAATTACATCCAATGACTATAGCCAAGTGCACTAAATGACTAGATCAAAGTGCATTCAATGATTAGAGCTACGTGCACCCAAATGACTAGATCAAAGTGCACCCAATGACTAGATCAATATGCACCCAATGACTAGATCAATATGCACTCTATAACTAGATCACACAGCATATAATATATTTCTATCAAGCTATAAATGCATATTTTCATCAAATAAATTCTTTCCATTTTCCATCTGCAGTTTATTAAAAAAGAAATGTTTAGCTGACTTTTAACTTTGCAGTTTATTAAAGAAGAAATGTTTAGCTGACTTTTAACTTTGCAGTTTATTAAAAAAGAAATGTTTAGCTGACTTTTAACTTTGCAGTTTATTAAAAAAGAAATGTTTAGCTGACTTTTAACTTTGCAGTTTATTAAAAAAGAAATGTTTAGCTGACTTTTAACTTTGCAGTTTTACCCTGACTTTATGTCATATTGCATCTACAATGGGTCATCGCCATTATTGTAAAAAGTGAAAAAATTAATTAAATTTTATGAACATAATGCATGAATCATTGAGTTAATCATAGAATTGTGCTGCCATTAGAATTCATTGATGCCAGTTATATAATTATTGTGCTTATAAATAATTTGCAAGGTCAGCCGGCAGGGTGGCTTCTGTTTACCCAATGTCATTTGGCTCCTTGTTACCCAAATGTCATTTGGCTCCTTGTTACCCAAAATGTCATTTGGCTCCTTGTTACCAAAATGTCATTTGGCTCCTTGTTACCAAAATGTCATTTGGCTCCTTGTTACCAAAATGTCATTTGGCTCCTTGTTACCCAAATGTCAATTGGCTCCTTGTTACCCAAATGTCATTTGGCTCCTTGTTACCCAAATGTCATTTGGCTCCTTGTTACCAAAATGTCATTTGGCTCCTTGTTACCAAAATGTCATTTGGCTCCTTGTTACCCAAATGTCAATTGGCTCCTTGTTACCCATATGTCATTTGGCTCCTTGTTTCCCAAATTTCATTTATATATTGGCAAGTAAGTAATTATATTAATTTTATTGTTGCTTTCATTACAGAATTGCCTTAGAGCAGCAGAACAAACAGTTGCTACCAGCTTATCGCAGGACTTGCATACCTCATCTAGATTTGCCATTCCACAGAGCACATTTTCTACAAGTTATTATAAAACATTGTCATCAAATATAAACCAATCAATTGCTGGCAAGAACTTCAAGTCTGCTAGGTCATTACTCATTTCCCCGCCGGCAGCTAATCCTCACATCAAGAACATCCCTATCAGGACGTCCATCCCTCCCCCACCTCCATTGTCACCATGCCCTTGGTATGGGACGCATCCTCCCGTTGTACAATATCAAAGGTCACTGCCACCTCCTCTGAAGCCCGCCATACCTGAAGCACCATTTCTTGTGCCTGACGGACAGGCACCCGCTATATTACCTAAGCCTCCATCCCTGCAACCCAGCCCTCCATCCCTCCAAACCATACAACCCAGCCCTCCATCCCTCCAAACCATACAACCCAACCCTCCATCCCTCAAAACCATACAACCCAACCCTCCAATCCTCCAAACCAGTTCTTCATCCCAGGAACCCAGTCCTCCATTAGTTAACACAACATCAGAAATCACTACCGAGTTTTTATCATCAACATCAGTTAAGTCCAGACTGTTGCTAAATTTGACTTCCAAAAAAACAATGACTGTATTGAAGCATCCTGAAATTAGCCAAATGATAAATTCCAGCAGAATTAACGATGCTTTGTTTTATGTACGGGAATTGGACAGTAATGATAGTGTGACGATGAATGATACTGGGAGACCGGGCTTTTCTAAAGCTAGCACCACTATAGGTGCCTTGAGAGAACTCACTTCACCGTCAGTGGATGAGATGCAACAGAATAACTGTATCAGGCAAGCAGATAACAGTTTGACCCAACAGAATAACAGTAAGACAGCTGTCGATCATGAGCCTGGGGTAAATGCAGATGACCAGAACTCTAACTCGTTAACATCTCTTCTGAGTGGTGATGAGGATGATGAGTTTTGTCCAACGGTTTCATTTGAACAAACTCCAGTTGACGGCATCAATGAACAAGGGTCTAAGAAGCTAATCATTGATGAAAGGGAACTTGAGAAAGAGGAAGAAAGTGCAATTCTGCCTGCAATTAATAGTTCTGACTGTATGAAAGATACAAGTTTAAACATGTCTGAAGAGTCAAATAAATCAAAAGAGGACAATGATTCTCTGTGCGCTTTGACCAAACCTTCATGCATGCAGCAGAACCAGCAAGAGACGGCAGGCAACGCCCAGCTTCTGACATTGCCTTCCGATGTTGCCAAGCAGTTGAATCTCAATGAACCAATAGCGCTCAAGATTAACGGCGTGGAGCTCATCGTGCCGCCAGCCTGTATTTTCCACACGCCCACCGAAGGTGTCAAAATACTTTTACGGTCGGGCAGTTTCCAAGTTCCTGTCAATCCCTCGTCAAAATTTAAGGTTTCCATATCCAAGGTGAACCCGCCATCGGCCGGCAATGCTCTCACAGACTCAGACATCACCCGGTCTGTGCCCAAGTTAACCAGCAGGCAGTATCTTCATTCATTCAGAATGCTGCAGTCGAGCTTAAATATCATGTCAAAAATATTTGAGTATTTACCAACACCAAGTCTTTTGAGGTAAGGTATTTAGTATTTACTCCTTTTACAACAATACACATTTTAGTATTCCCAATTAATTCTGTACCAAATGTGTTCAAAGTTTATGTTAAAAAATTTAGCTCTAACTTTTTGAACCAAGTTTATGTTCAAAAGTTTAGCTCTCTAACTTTATGCTCCAATATTATGTTCAAAATTTTAGCTCTAACTTTATGCTCCAAGCTTATGTGCTCAAGTTTACTAAATATCTTAATGCTATTCTGATTTTCATATGAAATCAGTCTTAACATAGAAACTCCTATTTATATTTACAGTAAAATACATATATTTCTTCAGTTTCTGAATTTTTCAATATGTACTCTGTAAATATAGAATTCTTGTCATTATGCTTGTTTGTCTTATTGATTCTATTGTTGCAAAAGATATTTTTCCAGCTCATTTCACTGTTTGCAGTTTCTTTTACTTTCTTAGTCTCTTCCCCATAAGTTCCATGGTCTTCCCCTCTTTCTTTTGCCCTGTGGATTCCATGAAGGTAACTGTATGAGCTCAATGGTCTTCCCCTCTGTCTATAGCCCTGTGGATTCCATGGTGGTATCTGTATAAATTCCACCATCTTCCTGTCTGACTATGGCCATATGGATGTCATGATGGGAACTGTGGAGTTATATTTGATTTGGTTGTCTCGGTGTATGGTTTCACTGTATTTCCTGCTACACGCAATCACTTTCAGATCTTTCCCAAGTTTTGTTCTTGTTTGGAATCTTTTCAAACCATTTTTTTTAGTGGGATATAGTTCAAGTATGGGTTTAAATAAGCAGTATCCAGTACTGAGTTTGGTTGGTCTTCATTTTAACGCACATAGAGAGGAATGCACTTGACGTCTGAGTTCAATATTTTATTAAATGCTTCTCTGGCTTTCACTTTTCTGGTTCTGTCTTCTGTCCTCATCGGTTCCACCTTCCTTACTAAAGGTATTCCAAAGGATATATAATTGAATCTGGGAGCTCGAGAGGTAGCATTCTTAGTTTTATATGATTGCTGCTTCTGTCATTAATGTCCATTTTATTTGTCTACTTATTGAAACTGTTGATGTAAAATAAAATTGTGACTTGTTTGCTCTCTTCTGTGTGTAGATTAAATGATCAATTTTGTGTGCAAATTCTTGAGATTGTTGTCTAAATACTGCTTACTGCAAAGCCATCTAAAAAGTATCATCAGCAAGAATTGAATATTTAACCAGGGCTTTGGAGTGCATTGGAGCACGGAGCAGGATTTTTTGCTGAACTGGGATTTTTGGGAGCTCTGAACTCCAGCAAATTTTCAATTTAAAAAAAAAAACGGGAACCACATTGGAATACTGGAAAAATTCCCAGATCTCTTTATACCAATACATGAAAAAAATATCAATTGATGCCCTAATTTATATGCCACCATTATCCTCTCCCTGCTATGACCACTTTACCCCCTGAATTGTCCATCTCCCCTTCTGTGCAGTTAACACCTGGAGGAGATCTGAAGCTTTATCAATATTACCAGTAGATGAGCACTAAAAACAATTCCATGCATTTGGTTTTAATGAAAGAATTTCCTTTTCTTGCTTTTTCAGAACAAGAAGTGTTTGTAAATTTTGGAACGACTTTATAATGAATCATTATTCTGTAAGTCCAATCAAATATTCTTTCATTTAGGTTGTTGGGGGGAAAAAAACATTTGATTTTACCTCTTTGAAATTGTTGATGTTAATGACATTACTACATTGTGTAAGGCGGCCTGACCAATATTCAACCAATTCAGAAGCACTGACTTTTAAAGAAAATTATTTAAATAAAAATATTTTTACAGTTTATACCTAAATTTACAATGCTATCAAAAGAAATATCCCTTGTTTTGCACAGTTTATACATAAATTTACAATGCTATCAAAAGAAATATCCATTGTTTGGATCAATATAAAAACACAACTTATTTTAATTTGGGAAATACATTTTTCTGTGTCTGATATTTAAATATTTTCTTCAAGATTCAGTGAATAATTAATTTAGGAGAAATGTTTGTTTTGAAAATTTTTATTTGGTACACAGAATAATGAGCACATTTAGGTTAAATGGTACATATGATGATATGAGCACTTTTAGAATAAATGGTACATAGGATACTATGAACACTTTTAGAATAAATGGTACATATGATGATATGAACACTTTTAGAATAAATGGTACATAGGATTATATGAGCACTTTTAGAATAAATGGTACATAGGATCATATGAGCACTTTTAGAATAAATGGTACATAGGATCATATGAGCACTTTTAGAATAAATGGTACATAGGATCATATGAGCACTTTTAGGATAAATGGTACATAGGATAATAGGTGCACTTTTAGGATAAATGGTACATAGGATAATATGTGCACTTTTAGGATTTTGTTTAAATGTTAATCACAGACTGTGATAAATCTGTTTTCATAGTTAAGGCTGTGAAGGAGGGGCTAATCCAAAAACAGATTTTGAGCATAAGCCAAAATTTAAGAAATGGCACAGGGAGTTTTAACTCAAAAGGTTTTCTATAACTAGCTTGCACAGTTGGTGAAAGGTGTTTGAGAAGCAACGCCGATGTGATGTAATCCAAAAGTTATATTTTGTGGAAGTTGGTTTAAGTGAGGTCAACAAACTTTACTTGCGTACAAAGAAAAAGTGTAGAAATGAGAATGTGAGGAACTAATTGACTGCTTAGAAACTTAACTCATCATTGAAACATTTTTACCAGTCACATCACAACTTGAACTAAGCATTGAAAAACTGCTAAGAAGATGTGACAGTTAGCAGTTTTTCAATGCTTAGTTATAGACAAATGAAAATGCAATGATTGAAAAATTTTGAAAAATAATTACCATTTTTCGAGAAGCTAAGAAAGCAGGGAGAGACTATATGTAGCCACTATTTCTGCACAGCTGAGACTCAAAAGACTATATGTAGCCACTATTTCTGCTCAGCTGGGACTCAGAATAAATAGAATCAAGAAAAAATCATTAAAATAACACCAAGAACACATCTCCTTAGCAGGAATTGCACTTGAAGAGGTGGAGTCATTGACCTACTTGGATATTACAATTGACAAAAATAGCAAAACTCTATGGATATGACATAAATAGCAGATCGAAGCAGATGTCAGGGCTAGAATTGGATAGCTACATCAGTATTTTTGCTGTTAAAGAAAATTGGGAATCAATGGCGATGACTCTGCAAATAAGAGTTAGTATTTTCAACACCAATGCCGAGTCAGTCCTACTTTATGGAGTGCTTGAGGACCACTGCTATTTTGTGATTGAATTTGGTTCCTATATTTATGGCTGTGAATTCAATATTTCAGTGGCACTCAGTTCACCTGGCAGGGGTTTACATAAAAAACTGGATGATAGCAGCTGAATTTCTAAACAAAGTCAAAGTTAAAAAATTGGTAAGTTACAGATTCTATACAGCTTCAAATGAAATATTTTAGTTGCTATCTTATTACTTATCATCCCTTGTTAGTGGCATAATTTTACAATCCTATTATATATTTTTTTTAGTTTGAAAATTCTCAATGTAAACAAACTTTCTTTACTGTTTTAAGCATCTACACATTATTTAGGTTAAGTTCTGTAAAATAACTGTCACAGATATAATTATATGGGAGATAAGTAATACAGCTCGACTTACAACCACGATCGGTTCCGACAGACGGGCCATAAAACGATTTGGTCGTAAGTTGAGTACGCTATGTGTACAGTAATGTGAAGTGATGTTATAAAAAATTTAAGTTAAATTATATCATAAATTTCTTTTATTATTGTTATAAATCATACTTTTCGATGTTCATTTGTATCATCTCTACATCATTTTATTTCTTATTTTTACATCGTCAGGTTTAATTTGGTTTAATATTTGCAAAATTTACAAAATACAGGTGTGGTAAATAGTATAGGAAACATTTTCCCAATCGCACAACACATCAAATCGTCATCAACATCAAAATATCTAAACCTGTACGAAACATTTTATTGGCCACTGGTGCTTAGCTGCAGGTCATGAATGTCGTCATCTAAGGCAGCAGTTGGGGGTACCTAGGGTTATTGAGTGTGACCGTGTTATTTCTTCGAATTTGATGATGCCGGCTAACAGTAAAGAAGTTTACCGAGAAGCTGCATCCCAAGTGTTTTCGGATTTAGTATGTTGGGCATGAGTATTTGCTCGTATTTCAAGTATTAACTATCATTATTGTGATCGTGTGTTAATAAAGTATCATTCACTATTATTAATCATTTGAACCACTTCGCCTCTGTTTTGAGACATTGTGATTGTGACACGGGACAACAATCGATTTTTGGTGGCAGTGGTGGGATTATTATATATACAATAAAGTAGCAGCGCATCGATTTTCTGAATGCAGATTACCTGAAACATCGATTCTCCAAATGATCACTATTTTGTTATTATTTTTATTAATCTGAATGCACATGTTAATGTATTGTATTTTGTATAGAAATGGTGCTAAAATAGAAATATAAAAATAGTAGCTTCTTTTTGGTGAGTTCAAAGGTCATATGCTTTATGAAGGGTCAGGTCCTGGAAAAACTGGGGAGAACTCCTGATGTTCACAAAGCTTCCTCTCTCTCACCCACAGAGGTTGCAGGCACCCGAGGTTAAGAATACCTGTAGTAGGCTGTAGATTTTTCAAAGTAGTTGGGTTGTTATGCGATATATATTTTTTAGCAAGTTTGCAGATCGCATTATCTCACCCTGGTCTCTTTATGTAGGTTACCCTCTTACAGTCAATAAGTATCTAATCTTACCTGGTTTGTGCGAGAAGGATCCGAAAATAGTTTTCCTGTGTCTGTATGCATGTTCCACTCCTGGCACATTGCGCATGATAAAATAAAAAAATAAAAACTCTTGCCATTAGGATAAACAACTTTTTTGATGATGTGCATTAGGAAAATCGACTCTATTCTGTACTATTTTACAAAAATTAACCTAAATAATGTGTAGATAATGAATACTGTAAAGAAAGTATACCTACACTTTATATTTCATACAAAATAAAGAAAGGTATAATTGTACTTATACCACCCACCTGTTATGGTTGTAAAAACAATGGGGCTCCATATCACAGGAACGGTTTGAGATTTTTTATTTTAAATTTCACCTAAAGATTTTGTCACAAAAATGCAGAGATGTCAAAAAAAGCCTGTAGAAGTTTTAGAAAAAAAAGTAATTCACAATTTAAAAACATCTTATCAACTTCCTTCTCACGCTAGCCCCACCTCAGCCTAACCTTTATTATAAGAAAATAGAATTGCTGAAAGCGAATATTGTCCCCACTCATGCCTAATAAATAGAATTGCTAAAAGCAAATATTGTCCCCTCTCATTTGGCATTCATTTCCCCGGTACTTAGGTCAACTCGGTCTAAGCCAAAATGTTACTCTCATCGTAAGCAGATGAAAGAAAATATTCTGTAGAGTTGAATATTTTTAAGCCAGATGATTTCTTTCAGACATATTCTCAGTATAAGTGATGTGATATTCTCAAAGTCATGACATTCTCAGTCAGCCATGCTAACCTCTAGGAATAAAAAAAGCTTTAGCAAAAGTCACACAAAAAACTGCAAAAAGTCACCTAAAAACTACAGAAATCACATACAAATGTTCAGAAATTCACAAAAAGTGTTTTAAAAAATTCACAAAAAACTATACAACTGCATGAAAATTCTCCAGAAACATGACAAGTCAAAAAAGTATAATTTATGTTTTCACTTAATCGTCACTGTTTTTAATAGTTACAAACTTGACCTGCTTGATAATTTCTGGATTAGTTTGAAAGCCCCAACAAATCTCATTGCTAATTTAACAATAAAAAATAGATGTGATTTTTTCATTTAAGTCAGCATTCAATTAAGCTCAACCATTTCACTGAAAGTGTCCATCTGTAACATAATAATAAGACATGATTCTCAAGTAGTAGCTCTATAAAAAGTATACTTATTTATACAACTAAGAAGGTGGCGGCCGCTAAAGTTTTTGAAAGTTACATTAAGACACGCCTTAGTAATATGTAGGTATAATGACTAAAGCCATTCAATGCATGGTTAGTGATATTTAATATACTCAATAGAAATAAAAAGTGCACTTACTGACACTGCAGATCTAGCTAAGAATTACACAAATGCACTTTTCATTATGGTACAAAGTTGTTACTGGTTCTACTGTGCATCACTGTCTCTTAATGAATGATACAGATTCCTGTGCTTGCTTTATTATGTTAATACTCTTGTGCACATTTGTTTTTTCTAAATCCAGTGAAAATTGTACAAAATCCTGCACTGCTTTACATTTGAAAAAACGTACAAATTAAAGTTAACTATTAGAAAAAGATGAGACTCGTTAACCTTGGATGGCAACTCATTTAAGAGAAGGAAACTCTGAAATGAAACCCGGAGATGGAGTCCCGAAAGGCGGATAACATTGATACAATGAAACATTCCGACAACTCCTGCGACGTCACTGGTGCCAAGCTGTAACATCCATTGATGTTCCCTTGGGTTACCCAGCGGCGTGGAGAGAGGCGATTTGCTGTTGGGAACCAGCTTATAATCCTTGAAGTATAATCCCAGGCCATGTGGATTTCATCCTCCGAAGCCCACTCCATCGTCACATTGTGACGGACGGATGCCAGCAAAAAAAAAAAAAAAAAAAAAAAAAAAAAAAAAAAAATTAGAAAAAGGCATGTTTGCTCTCAGTGCAAGTCATGACAAGTTTCTACATTCCAACCACCTCCTAATTTAAAGATATATTTTTCAACTACAAACAATTGCATTGAATATTATTTGTTATTTCTGATCAATGTAGAGCTTAAAGGGTGTCTACCTATCTGTGAATAAAGAAGGACTGGAGAGAGCTTGGGACAAAATAAAAGAATCTCTTCCAACGATCACAAGTTTAGAGCAGCTGACTTTTGGTCGGGCTCCTGCCTCAGTTTTGGATGCTCTCACCCTGAACATGCCAAACTTGCTTAACCTAAGTGCCACAGTTATCATAGAGCGGAACTCAGCGTAAGTCAGCATTAGATACGTTTCACCGGTTGTAGAACCATATTATAGTGTTGTCTCGTAACAATTATTTTCTTGTGCCTCAGGAAGTGAATTTACAAATGGTTTTTAATCCTGCTGTAGTAATTTGTTTTGTAATTAATGCTTATTTAGACTTTCCCCAGGGGCCTTATGTCTAGGTAGATTAATTTTTTTTGTAAATGATGCTTATTTAGACTTTCCCCAGGATCTTTATGTCTAGGTATACTAATTTGTTTTGTAATTGATGCTTATTTAGACTTTCTCTAGGGGTCTTATGTCTAGGTATTTTCCAAACAATAACATTTCAATATAGCTTACACTTTTTTTTAAACTAAAGGGTTGGATAAAACTAAATAAAACACATTCTTAGCCCTTTAAGGGCCAGTCCATAAATGACATGTTATTCTTTAGGCCACTAAGGGCCAGTCCATAAATGACATGTCATTCTTAAGGCCACTAAGGGCCAGTCCATAAATGACATGTCAGTTTTTAGCCCATTTTTAACTCTCCTTCCTCCCTCAGAATGGTCCCAACTTCATAACACAAATTAGCCACTTTTATTGATCATAATTGACACAAATTTGTGAGGGGCCCCCATCCCCTGACATGCAATCTAGGAACCATTAGTAGGAGCCTCTGCAAACAGTAATTACTCAAGTGACTTCTAGTTTGCACCAGATTCTTATATGTCATATTGAATTCAAAGTGGAAAATTGTGTCCTATTTTGTGGTGTCCCTGTGATACAGCCACAATTCCCCCAGTTTATGCGGCTCCCTAGGGATATGTGTCAAACATTTTGGGAATCACTGGGCTACGTCCAACAGACTGCAAAGAAAACCCATTACACATCTTTTTTAATGTCTATAAAATAAATTAAATATTTTGGGGGAGGGGGGGTATGTCAAAAGATCATTGTATCTATAGGGGTTTCCAAAATGTAAGTTGCCGGGGGGGGGGGGGGGGGTGTTGACTATTTATATGTATTCTATGGATTATCCTTAACATCCTGAAATCAACTACATCTCCATTAACTTTACATCCTGTAATCAACTACAGCACTCTCACATTACATCCTGTAATCAACTAATAACCATTACCTTTACATCCTGTAATCAACTATAGCACCATTAATTTTACATCCTGTAAGTAACTAAGCAGGATTTACTCTGTAGTGACATGATAACAAATGAGAAAGATAATTATTTCCTGTTTTGATCTCCTGTTTCAGGTCTGCCGATCCTCACTGTACCGTGTCAACTGGTCGCATGATAAGCAATATGACAGATGCTGTTGAGGCTGTAACGAATGGGGTTTTATCAGCCTCTGTTGCAGCCAAGCTGTACCAAGTATCAGAGAAAGATCTTAAACACTTGACTCTGAAGCCCAAAAACATCAAAATTACCAAAGAAGAGGAAACATCAATTCTTACATGCTGCCTTCGTTTAAGTCGAATGGGTTTTTCTATAAATCTGGCAACTGTTGTCGCCAAATGCCAGGAAGTACTTGCCATAAAATATTCTAGCAATGAGACCATTCCAATATTGGCCAACTATTGCAATGATCTATTTTCTCAAAATGCCCCGTTACTTCTACACGAAAAAACAGAGAGAAATGCAAGTCTTGCCCACAGACTGGAAATCTATTACTCCTCTCTTCGTCACCTGTACAATAACATAGGGCCTAAAAAAATTACTGGCGCCAGTCAGGTTTTTGCCTTTGACGTGAAAACTTTTAAAGTGACGACAAGCAAATCAACAATGACAAAAAGGTTCATCAACATCACGGCCCTGTCATTACTGTCTGTATCTGAAAAAACATTTCCGATCATGCTGGTTTTTCCAACTGCCGTAGAAAGCAAACACCCGGAGCTGCTCATCGCCCAAGCCAAGCATGGCCTGGCCACATCGCAGCTGGTGACCCAGTACCTGACCACGGTTTTGAAAGATGAAATCAAGGACCCTGCCGTGGTGCTGTGCAATGGCCACGCCGCTTTATTCAGCGTGTCCCTCCTCGATTACTGCATGACCCACTGGGTGTACTTGCACTGTGTACCAACTGACCTTGCCGCATATGTATTTCCTGGTAATCTTGGTGGAGTCATGCAGATCTTAAGAGATTATGACAGTGAAGCCCACCTGGACATTCCCATGTTCATGGATCTGCTGGTTCAGTTATTAAATAAACGTAAAAGTGAAATCACCAACAGCACCAAACGAGCCATGATGGCCTGTGGCGTCTTCCCCGTCAATCCTAAAGCCCCTTATCAGTATCAGAACATAAACAAGGCGTTGGCCTCGTCCTTGCCATCGACAGAAAAAAGGAGCACATTTACATTTAATAGTAATAGTTTGTCAAAGGTTACAGAGCCCCCTCGCCTACTTGAAGAAAAGGGTAAGAATAATCCTAACACTGAAGAAGTGGGTCATTATCCAGGACCTGTGGAGTGCCGCATTCTAAAGAAACGAAATACGATCAATTCTGCTTCAAGAAAATCTTATAATAATCCAACAGCTACAACTAGCAAGAAATTACTCATTCAGAATCCAACAGCTATGACTAGCACAAAAGTACACATACAGAATCCCACAGCTACGACCAGCAAGAAATTACTCATACAAAAATTTCTTAAAGTGAAAAAGAAGAAAGCTGTATTGCAAGCCAATAAGTGTGTGCAAAGGGCTTTGTTGGGTAAGATCAAATCTGTCAAGTTATCTAAAAATGCTAAATCTATTGAGCACACGGATCAGTCAGTGTCCATTACAGCAAGTCAAATCAATATTAATGATCCGTCTGCATCAGAGGCTCTACTTACAGTAACTTCAGGCCCAGGTGTAAGGTCAGGTCCAGGTGTAAGGTCAACAGTGGCTAGAATAGGTCAACAAAAAACAACAAAGAATACAGTGTTCACTAGTGAGTCAAAGAAAGGACAATTCACCAGCATCGTCACTCCAAATTGTCAGACACTGAAAGAGAGCTCGTCGGAAGAGAGTCGCCATGTAGATGAGATTATAGATTTTGTCATAACTCAGAGTCGTGAAGAATATGACAAAAAAGCTTTGCAGTCTGAATCTACTGGTCAACTGGCAACCCTGGCAACCCATCAAACACATGAGGGAAAAGCTTTGCAGTCTGAATCTGCTGTTCAACTGCCAACCCCTCAAACACATGACAGAAAAGCTTTGCAGTCTCAATCAAATGGTCAACTGATAACGCCTGAGGTTAGCAAGGCCTGTTATGATGATAGCCAGTCCGAAAATTGTCAGACCATCAAGAAAAGATCTGACCACACTGCGAAAAAGACAGTTAGAAAAAATTCCAATCTTGACGGAAGCTCAAAATTCTTGGAGAACATCGACAAACACATAGCCATAGAAATCAAGAGTGTCAGCGACACTAGCATAGTGCTGAAAGCCAAACAAGTTTCAGATGTTCCATATGGCCCTAAGAATGAGACGAATATGAAAGACAGTGATGATGAAGGTGATGCTGCGGACAAGGCTGGTGATATCGAGCGTATCAAATTGCAGCAAGTGCAAGAGAGTGATGATGAGGACGGTGGTGATATGTCGGGTAAAGATGAAAAAGAGCAGCGCAGTGAGGATCCATCAAAAGAGGAATCAGCTGGGAGCTTACCTGACAACAGAGACAAAAGAAAGAAACATAAGAGGAAAAAGAAGAGGAGACAGAGATATGAGGATGAAAGTGATGCTGAGACGAGTGTCACAAGTCCAGTCAAAGATAAGAGAAAGAAAAAGAAGTCAAAAAAGAAGAAATCTAAATCCAGAAGAAGAGGTTCTCCAATTATTGCTGTTAGTCCTCTTAATATGTCTAAAGACAGTTCTGTTGAAAAAATTGATCATTCAGAACTGGATTCTTTAACTCATAAACAGAATGTTTTGTTCTTAGACCACGACTATTTTAAGAAATCTGATGATAACACGGAGCTTGTGAATAACACGGAGCTTGTGAATAACACCAAACTGTCTGGTTGTGTAGAAGTTAAGTCAGAGACATCTGCCAGTGATTTAGACAAAAGTAGAAATGTTGTTTCCAATGGTGATCCTCCAGAAGTAGATTCAAACAATGGAGAAGTGAGGCCCTCAAAGGTTACCGAGCATTCATACAGCCATGGTCTGGACGGAAGTGCACAAGACATATCACAAGAAAGCCATTCTGGGGAGACAGATTCTGTGAACAGCAGTGAGGATGAATCTAGTGATGGCAGTGGAAGTAGTGATAGTAATAGTAGTAGCAGTGGTAGCAGTGTAGATGGTAGCGATGATGTTAGCTGGAGTAGTGGAAATAAAAGTAGTAGTATAAGCAGTAGTGGTGACAGTTCATCTTCTAACGATGAGAATGGCAGTAGCAGTGATCAGTCCACCTCACATTCCAAAGCCAAAAGGTATCAGAAAAATAAGCCGGAGAGTGCCGACAGTAACTCAACCGATGGAGATGATGAGAGTAGCAATTTTGATGCCGATGATAATGATGAGGAGAGTGAGGGTGAGGAGGATGACGACTCCAAGTGCCAGATGTGCATGAGGGCTGCCCCGCCACACTTTAAAGACAAAACTATTGATTGGGTCGATTGTGACGGCAATTGTGGGCGATGGTTTCATGTCATCTGTATTATCAGGTCCCAGTCCAAGGCAGACCCCAACCACTATGTGTGTCCTTCATGTAAGTGTAAAAGATAGGAACCAGAGAGGCTTACACCGACCACTGTGTGTCGTCCTTGTAAGTGTAAAAGACAGGTCTCAGTTCGAGGCTGACCCAAACCACTGTGTCCATAAGGTAAATTGTAAAGTTTATGACGTTATTGTCTACAGTGATGGACTGGAACTCTTTCTTTAAACCTTTTGTAGTCTGCAAACACTAGCATTGGCATGATACCGTAACAAACACTATCATTGGCATAATACTGTAACAAACACAAGCATTGGCATGATGCTGTAACAAGCATTGGCATGATGCGGTAACAATAACATAATTTACAGAACTGATACAGTTTTGAAAAAAATTACATGTGAGATGTTGTTGATACATTTACTACAGCACTGTAATGATTATAATCAATGTTGGCACATTTACTACAGTACTGTAATGATTATAATCAATGTTGGCACATTTACTACAGTACTGTAATGATTATAATAAATGTTGGTACATTTATGGTACTGTAACTGTAATGATTATAATAATTTTTTTAAAAAGAGGTTGAGAATTGTTGACAAGAGATACTCATGTATTATTGTGCTGCAGAACAGTCATGATCCAGCCATGCTGTACATAGAGAATGTAAATGTAACATGAGTTTAATAAGATAAATTAAAGTAATTTTTGTAAATAAATATTGTTTGACTTGCAAATCTACTTCTGTACCCGGTACTTCTGGTGATTCTGATAAGATTATAAGTGTCTTTATAATCCTGCAGCTAGGTATAATCATTAGCAGCGCAGCTAGTGTTGAATATCAATTTGATGATCTCCCTTTTGTCTTTTCAGTTGCAGCCAATTGTTTGGTATTTTCTTTAATATAAAAGTATTACTGGAACATTTTAAAATGCATGCATCAAATCTACCTTTTAAATGGTTCTCTACCTAGAAGCTGGAGAGTTCTGTAATTGTCAATAAAACCAAGTCTATATTTCTGAATCATTTCAAATTCATATTTTAAAAATGTAGACAATGCCATATTATTTTAACTTGTCCAAATTTTTTGTTTTCTCAAATAATTGTTGAATGATTAAATCATTATTGTCAACATGATTTCAGTTTTCTTTTCATAGTAGTGGAGAAAGAAAGTATAGGGTTGAGTACTCATTAAATAGGAATCTATAGAGACTACTTCAAATGTGATTATACTATTATACACAGACATTCAAATATCATTATAATTATATTTATTCAAATATTCTCCACAGACTTTCAAATATTGTATAGTTATTCAAATATTGTACATATTGTCAATCAATATCCTTGTACACAGACATTCAAATATTGTACGTAGACATTCAAATATCCTTGTACTTGTACACAGACATTCAAATATCATTGTACACAGACATTCAAATATCATTGTACACAGACATTCAGATACCTGTACCACAGTACACAGTCATTCAAATATTGTACACAGTCATTTAAAATGGTCTATAAACATAATACATTTTTTCATGGATTGGTTATTTTCCTAATCCGCGTGATTGTGTGCACCCCGGGAAAGCCAAGTGCCCCCCCCCCACCTTGGAGAAAAAATATGCCTAACAATAAATCAACTGGAACTGCTGGCACACCGAAAAATCTGAATTTCTGAAAGAAACACTGCGTCCAGGTCACCCTCGCACACCCTAGATACGCCACTATGGAAGTTAAAAAATTAACTACCTATGTCCTCCCCCTACCCTACAGGTCTTAATACGATACTGATAACTAATTAGGGATTCAAATGCTGCCACACGTTCATCAAATTTTTAAACTGAATAATCACATCTGCCTCAATGTCAGTGAGAAGGTGCTGGGCAAAGGGAGAGGGCACCAAAATTATCCACTAGCGTAGGAAAAAAAATTGGGGGGGGGGGGTTGTAAATTAAGGGTAGAACGACGAAAAACTCAATTCAGTTTTTTTTTTTTTTTTTTTAAAGAACGTTGACCATTCTACCAAAAGGTTTGCTTCTTTTTCATGGTATGTTTTTTTAAATTTTTTTAGGTAGTACAAAGATCACTGAGCTTGACAAAGACCCTCGTGCAGGTAGCCTAAAAATTCGTACGCCTTTTTATTCCATTGATCATTTACTTGCTACGTCACTGCACGGCAACTTTGAACACTTGATTGTGTGGCAAATCAAATATATATGATAGTTGGTGGGGAGGGCATTGGTATTGATATTTTACTACTGATATTAAGACGACAAAACTAAATGAGCTATACGCTTTTAAGGAGACTCCATAATGTAAACATAGAACCCCCCAAAAATGTAGCTAATTAAACAGAAAGTTGAGTTCTTTTCGTAAACAATGGTGGTAACAATGTCTCTTTCGAGTTACAATGTCACATACCCGGTACATTATTGACAATCCTTATCATCGAACCTGAAATATTGATGATCTTAAGTTTTTTTAAAATCAAATTTAATTTTAAAAGACTGCTTTCAGCACTTGCCAATGTTACGGTTACTGACTCATTCAATTTTATTTTGTACCGGGGACACAATGGCTGTATTCATTCGGGAAAGAATCTGTCAGTGGCACAAGCAATTAAAGACACTGTAATGCTGTGTCTCACAGCAAAAAGGACGTCATTCCATATGACCGTGGTAACAAGACATTTAATGATCCCTAGCTCGTAGTTTGCAAGGCACGCAGCTTCACTATTCAGTTTAGGTTCTTCATGCGATTGAACGTTGAGAGATAAAAACTAGTATCCGAGAGGGCAGCAAACGAATTCTTTTGCTGACCTCTTGGATACCGGTACTACTTTTCCGCTAAGTGCTATTTTTTAAATTTAATTCTGTCTTTTCTGTTGTTTGTTCGCCGACGAAGGCTTTCTGTCGACACATTCGTTGTTTTGTTGCGCTCCTCTTTCATGTTTTCAAAGACTTTGTTTTACTTTAATACAATAAAAGCACTGACTGTTCATATGATTATCTTGTACCTCCAAACATCAGGTTTAGTGGAAATTACGAACTATGAATATATTTTGAATATGTGAGAGACTGCAACCATGTTTGGTACCAGTAGAGGGAAATAAGTGAAAAAACGTATAGGAAAACCTGATAAAAGAAGCAACAAAACAATTAACATGTTGGCAAGAAGCCTTCTTCGGCGGAAAAATCAACAACACAAATACACATTTCGTCCAAATGAGCTTGGTTGCTTTTTTTCCAATCTGGCAATGCGAATTCGCCAAAACTTTTCTAACATGTAGATTATGATACATGGTTTTAAGTTAATTAACTCATTAAAAAATATATTATTTTTACCATATCTTTAATTGGTTGGGTTGGTTTAGCTATAATATCCATATACAGAACGATTGCACAAGAGTTGGATATGAAGGAAATAATTTAAGATTTTGCTTCGGCGAAACCAAGGAGAGCATGATTTTTGACTGAAATAAGCTGTTCATTATTATATGCGCTTTAATATTTGCCAAAAAGGATTTTTTCAGTAGCTAGTTATTTTTCAGTAGGCCTACTCTGCAGAAGCAAGAAAGCCAAGATTATGTTTAAATTTAAATTGTTGTTTTAATTAAGCTACTTAGGCTATACATTAATTGTGGACCATTGGACATTAAGACTAAGAGAATGCTCCTCTTGACTTCCCAAATTCTAAAATCCAAGACTATGATTGGATGAGGAATCCATTTCTTTCACATAAGTGATGAACCTTTCATTTAACTAAGAGAAGAATGAGCTGACATACTAAGTGATTAACATCTGTTTAAAATGTATGAAGAAGGAGATTTAGCTGCTGGATTTACGTTTCACAGTTTCATACAAAATATACATGAAAATTGTTTTGATGAGAATGTTGTGTCTTTATAATCACTTTTTGTTCACGTATGTCTTAAAATGCTCCAATTTAACCTAATGCCAGGTATACTGGTAAAACCAACAGACTGTGTCGCGAAATAATTTATGTCTAAAAAGTGTGTCACCAAAATCAAAAGTTTGGAAAGCACTGCCTTAATAAAGCCATAATTATCCTCTTTCCTCACCCCCACCCCCTGAGACCGTATGCAAAGTCTCCAAAATCAACTACCAACTCTCCAGATGTGAGTTCGTAATAAATGGATCAAGGATAACCCCTAAATTCTTATTTAGAAAGCTATCGTATACGAATTATATTGAGTTATAAATAAGAGAAAGCAACATAATAATTCATCATACTGCTTTATTTGAATTAGACGAGAAAATAATTGCGAAGTCGACAATGTACTCAGAATACATACAAAAATATATTCGATTACGTTTATGTAAAATCAAGTTAGCCTACGCAATCATGGGGGTCAGTGGAAGAGACGTTGTATTTCTTTGCTTTTGTTCATTCGGCCTTGGTGTTTTCGTAGGCTATAAATTAAAGTCTACCAGAATAAAATATCTCCAATGGAAAAGGGACCGTTTACTAAACAAGTTAAAAGAAACAACGAACAAAATTAACATTGAAACCAGCGTTGCAGGTATTCACTGAGAAGGCAATTATTTTAAAAAACAATAAAACTGTTTCCTGTTTTCTTCCCATGATGCATTGTGTTGTTAATAATAAATGCGCATGGCATCAAGTTAGTGTTAAGTTTTCGCTTATGTTTCAGATATTGTGTTTAATTTCATCATAGCTTATGAACAGTCTCAGAAATGTCAGGGTTTGAAAATCTCGGCCTCGATGAATGGCTCGTCAAACAGTGCCTTTCAATGGGAATTTCGAAACCATCCCCTATTCAAAGCAATTGCATACCTCCGATCTTGGATGGACAGAATTGTGTAGGTTGTGCCAAAACGGGCAGTGGAAAAACTGCTGCCTTCGCACTACCAATTTTACAAAAACTCTCAGAAGACAGATATGGACCTTATGCGCTTGTCCTTACACCTACTCGTGAGCTTGCGTTTCAGATAGCAGATCAGTTCAAAGTGTTGGGTAAAGAAATCAATATAAGTGTTACTGTAATCACTGGTGGAATGGATATGGTTCGACAAGGTCAGGATTTAACAGTAAAACCACATATTGTTGTTTCTACTCCTGGCCGGCTTGCTGATCACTATGAAAGCTGTGACACATTCAGTTTGAAAAAAATTAAATTTCTTGTTCTTGATGAGGCTGATCGCCTGTTAGAAGATACTGGTTTTGCAGAGCAACTGGAAATTATTTTCAAAAAGCTTCCAGAAAAAAGGCAAACACTACTCTTTAGTGCAACTATGACACCAGCTATTAGACAGCTGCAGGAATCATCAAAAGAAAAGGTGTTTTCGTGGTCACAGTCAGCAGTTGTTGCCACTGTGGATGAACTTGACCAGCGTTACGTGCTTATGAATGCAGATGTAAAGGATGCATACCTAATGCATATTCTTGATGTATACACTATAGAAAGATCAAAGAGTTCCATTATTATTTTTACAAGTACTTGCAAATATGCACAAATTCTTTCAATGATGTGTGATGATTTAGGTTTTCCATGTGTTTCCCTGCACTCCATGCTGCCTCAGAAATATCGATTGTCTGGCTTAACGAAATTTAAGTCGGACCAAGTAAAAATTTTAATTGCCACCGATGTTGCTAGTAGAGGCTTAGATATTCCCACTGTGGACCTTATTATAAACCATAATGTTCCAAATCGACCAAGGGATTATGTTCATCGTGTTGGACGTACAGCTCGTGCTGGCCGAGGTGGTATGGCCATCACCCTGGTAACTCAGTTTGATGTTCATCTCACTAAAACTATTGAATCGTTTATAAATACAAAACTGACAGAGCACCAAACAGATGAAAAGGAGGTTATGAAACTTCTTACAGAAGTTGCTGTTTCCCGCAGGGAAGCTGAAATTCGTTTAGATGAAAGAGACTTTGGTGAGAAAAGACAAATAAATAAGAGAAAGAAACTTATTTTACAAGGGAAAGATCCTGAGGAAGAAGAAGAACAAAAAGCTAAGAAAATGAAACAAAAAGATGGAAAGACAAAGGATCAACGAGATGCAGAAAAGCTGCAGAGAAAAGAGAAATTTAAAAATAAATTTAAAAAGAACATAGCAACGAAAAAGGTTTCTTAGAGGGTTAACTTTTGTTAGATTATCTTTCTGTTGATGAAACCTCTAATTTTAATTTAAATACAAAACTAGTGCTGTATGTGTAAGAATTTAATTATGGTCATAATATTGGCATGACCGACATTTTATTTTCCATAGTCATAGTCAAAGTGGTGGTTACCAAACTTGTTCCTGCACCTTTTGTCAAGTACACTTCAAAGTAACTGTTATATTCTCTATGCTTAATATTTTACCCTATATGACCTAGTGTACCTATTCATTTTCACTGTCATTGTTTAGAAAAAAACTGATAATTTAAAAAAAAAATAAACAAGAAGTAATACTTCATTAAATTCACCTGACTATAATCACATCAGTATTGTAGAGGCTTCTTCTAACAGTTATAACCGAGTTACTCGTTTTAACTTTAACCATTCAATGTCACACCCTGTTATATGAATGGAAATAGAATTATGCATTTTTTAAAATGTATTTTCACAATATTTGGAACCACTGATCTAAAGGCTACCGGTACTGTGTGTATTTAATTATTTTTGTGTTTTTTAGACTAATGTAACTCAAACTGTACCAGTATTTCAGAACACTACCATTTTATAGACTGATAGAAATAAAAATTAATACATCTACTTACTGACCAATGTTTCATATTACAGTTATATCAATTTAACAATTTATATTTGTTTTTTGGTTTCAATCTATGGCATGGTTTAGGTACTCATCTGAAACAAGAATATTTTTTTTGCGTTTTGTTAGTTCAGTCTATTAATATTACATTCATTTCAGGTTTTTTTTCCAGGTTTTATTTTTAAAAATCTCAATACCATCTTAAAGAAATTTTAAAAAATCAATTTCTTAAGATTTGTAACTGTACCAGCATTTACAACTTCATTTTAACTGAATAACTACCAGATTGAAAAACTTGCTGTGGCTTAATTAAATATAGGTCACATTTTTTTCATTTCAAGTGTATGTACAAATTCAGCTGCAGTTTTCTTAATTATTAATATATTCTAATAATTAATAAATCATTCTGTGCGTAAATTAATTGTCTATATGATAAACTTAAAACATTTGTAAAGTTAAGTTTTGTTAGGAAATTATTAATTGTTAAATTAGTATTTACAACAGAAAAACAATAAAAATATAAAAGTGTGCCAACTACGTACAGTTTTTAAATTTCCAAATTATTTAAAGCCTTTTATTTGGTGGTTCAAATAGTATATCCAATAATAAGAAAAATGCACCAAAGAATACAGAAAATGAATAAATATTTACTCTTCCAATTACTCATATGTTTTTAGTAACCATGCCACTGTTGCCACGGTAAACAAGTAGTACAACTTTGTATGTAATAGAGCTTGTCATTTCTCAGACAGGGCACTACGTATTATTACTATTTATAGAACGCCAGCCAAACAAATCTTAAAAACATCTTTGTTTGTTTGTCCCATCTGGGGGATTCTTTCTGGTTTTTTTGAAAAAAAAATTCACCTGCAGATAAAATAAAATGATTTATACTTATAAAGCCTGAAGATTTATCTACATGAAATTATTACAATTACATTCAGTATGTAGTCAGGCTTACACCAGATCACCACATTATTACTGTATAATTTATAAATTATAATATGAATGGGGCAGGAATAGCATACTATCAAGATAAGATTCATTTATTGATCCAAACAAATGGAAATGTTTTATGATTGCATGGTACATTTTCAGCACATATAAAAAAACAATTTGAAACAAGACATTTGTAATAAATTTTTCACTAGCAGCCATTCCGTGAGCTCTCTTAGCCATGTCAGGGACTTATTAGTTCTCATTAAGATTTATGACTTCAGGGGGAGCACGCTGGTAAATTCGTACAGATTGTGGAACAAAATATATACCGGTATAAATATAGATGTCACTGGAATAGTAAATAATCTCTGAGACAATAATCGCCCCTAATTAAATTGATAATTTAATTATTTTTCAAATTGTTAAATTTAAGAAAATGAAAATTGAAATAAACCTCTGCTACAGACATGAACCCATCTTTTACTTATACATTTTTCTAAATTTTTGTGTTTTAGGAAATAAATAAAACCTAACACCCTGAATGTGCGGACAATCCTTGTATCTAGAGTCACTGTTACCATATGCACAATGAAGTCCCATTTTTGTATATGCCTGAATATAGCAAAAGCACAAAAAAAATTGTGTAAAATATTTAATAAAATATATTTGGAAACAAAGTTTTGATTTAGTTTAAAGGCCCCTTCGCTAACATAGCAGTAATAAACCGTGTTGACATTTTGTCCGCCCTGAGTACCCGGTTGATTACAGCAGTTGTATTGATAGATTTCCGCCATTGAATGACAAGCCCTATTAGTACTAGCTTAGAAAACGGGAAAGGAGTAATATAAATATTTGACTCAATTTACTACGATAGAAACATTGGCGCTACCAGCGGCTCGTGGCTAAAATGAAAGAAGCGGCTCATGGTAGTTAACTTTGTAAAATCAAGAAAGTTAAGAATCTACTCTTAAAGAAAAATTTTGTTTATATGCTTGTGAATTATCTTTAATTATGTTGTTTTTGGACCATAATTTTTTATGCAATATAGAATTTTAAAGCTGATTCTGTGTGTGTCAACAAAAAAAAAACATTTGCAAAGATGGTGGATTTTTAAAAAAAAATCAATTTTAAATTTTAACTGCATGTAGAATAAAATACATTAAAATTAATTTGCCAACCTTTGTTTATATAGGATATTAAAATATATTAAATCCTGGTACCGGTAAATATAATGTTCACTTTCACTCCAGGACTTGTATTAAAAAAAAAATTAAAAAAAATTGAAGCAGTAATTCTTTGTTGAATTTTAATGTTATGCATATTTGTTAATTCACTTTATCCTTTAACTTTTTAAGCACAACATGTTGCTCAATTTATCACAAATTTCATTACGTCTGCTGCTCAGTTATGGCATATCACAATGGTATCAAACTGTAATTAAGAAAGAGATGCTTGGGTACTTGTCCCCATGTACAAAATAACAATTGCTATCTTTCATTCAAGCAAGACTCCTCAATATTTTGCCTTTAAACAAGCTTAAGTCATACGAGTTAATTATGAGGTTTCTCCATTGTGTATAACAAAGTAGATGGAAATAAGGGAAACAAAGTATTGGAAAACCTGATCAAAATAAAAGGCAGCAACAAAACAATAAACTTGTTGGCAAGGCGCTGTAATGTAGTATCCTAGAGGAATGCCACAAGAGGGATGCCAGTTGCTGTCCTTGCTGTTAATACATTACAGCTTTGGGTTTAAATTAATATTTTTATTGGTTTTACTACCGGTATTGCTTTTTCCCTGAAGAAGGCTTGTTGCCAACACATTCATTGTTAAGTTGCTTCCCTTTTCCAACATCAGTACTTTTTTTCACTTATTTTCTTCTTACTTAATGCAACCGGGTTCCATCTATTGTTGTATTTTGGTTTTTAATACCATTATAAAGTACATATAAATGAGTAATAAGGGGAGGGACTGCAATCAGGTTAACAAAATAGGAATTGAGTGAAACAAAGTAAGGTTAAATCTGAAAAAAAGGAACGCAACAAAACAACGAACGTGTCGGCAGGAAGCCCTCTCAGACACAATTTCTTCTTCTATATATTAAGGGCCCACGATCAATTTATTTATCATTTTGGCTCCTAAGCATGTAGAGGGGAATTGCAATGTTTCTGTGCCTGGTTTTGATTGAGGGTATTTCACCGATTGTATGTGCTACTTTGTGAGGGAATCATGCACTGGGGGTTGAAAGGCTTAAGGCAATAGCTAAGTGCTATATTTTTATATATATATTTTAAATTTTACTGTTTTCTGTTATTTGTTCGCTGACGAAGGCTTCCTGCCAACATGTTCGTTGTACTGTTGCCTTTCTTTTTTTCAGGATTAACCTTACTTTGTATAACTCATGTCCCATAAAGTACATACAAGTACAACATCAATGGCCAAATCACATGTGGTCCATTGCTTTTTTTTTTTTAAAGAAAGTTTTTTAATATTTAAAAAAGGGAAGACATGTAACTACTAAATAAAATGTCAAAATGGGGCACATACATAAAAAAGGGTGAGAAACACTGTAGAACAACAAAAAGGCTGATCAGCTATCAAAAACATGTTTATTTACCATACATCCTAAATGTAAAATATTTGCATTCAGAAGTGTTCCCTCTAGTCTAATAAATGGTTTTAAAATGAAAGACTGTACTGAGTTTCAAATGCTTGCGTTCTTAATCAGTCAAATCCACCATAAAGAAGTTGACAATTCACTTTGTTTTATTTTACTTAATTACCAGTACCTTAATTTTTAAAGCTACGGTTGAACCTCACTATTGTAATATTATTGTTGGCAAAATAGGGTTTATTACAGTACATATCCTATATTTAATTTACAAAAACTGGTTAAGTCAGGGTGTATTATTAATATTACAGTACATATCCAATGCTGGTATTTAATTTACAAAAACAGGTTAAGTCCATACAAATACAAGCTTTAATCAAAATAAGCATATAACTGGTACACATTTTTACGTACCAGGTATAATAATTCTCCAAACAATTGCATTCACTGACATGACATTTCAATGTATTTCATAAACCATCTGTCAACTCTACGCCTGGGTCTATCCCATAGACCAAATTTCCTTTTGTAATATGAGCCCAGGCCATTCTGCTTGTGGTAAAATGATGGGCCACCTCGCCATCCTTGCTAATGACTATAACGCCACCAGCACCCCTCACCCTTGTTGACATGAGTTCTAAAGCTGTTTGAGCTGCCTGTTGAGCTGTGGCACCTGAAAAACACGCATTCAACCATTTTGCTTTTTCTACCATTTTCAGTGTTAATTATGAGATAGCATGAGACTCAAATTTTAAAAAAAATGTATGATTTGATTTCTATTTCTACTCTATGCAAGACAGCTATTTGATTTTAAAGCTAGAGATATAGTCCTAACTGTTTGATTTCATAAATGATCCTAAATTGTATACATATTTTTTTAGATGTCAGCACTGTGGATAAAAAAAGAAATTATATGATATATTACTACCTAGTATCATACCTGATGTTAATTTTCTTGCATCATAAAATGTCATTAAATTAAAATGTTCTATTTTATCAAGTGTTAGTCCATGAACGGGATATATTTCTAAATAAAGTTGTCAAACAGTATGGTGAACTGGTACAGATGCTGTCAGTTTTAAATAAAACCCACTCAAGTATTGACTAAATGATAATTGAGTAGCAAAACAAGATTTAGTTGCAGTTGCACCAATTTAATATATACGGTATATACACATACAACATACCTTTTTTCAATTTAAAAACACTGGGTACGGTACTAAAACTGATAATGTAATGATAAGGGTGCAGGTATTAAGTTGATAAAGAGCAAATACATTAAGATAATGAACATATCCGCGTAGCTACAATTAATACAAACAACCTACAGAAAAGTACAAAAACACAGTTGAGAAAAATTACCTCTTCAGTTTAAATACCGGTAGTTTAAAACTTGTGTTTACAAACCTCTGTCCATTAGTTCCGCAACTTTCCTTGTTAAACTGATCTTCATAATAGACTCTCCATGACCAGTAGAGGAAGCAGCACCAATTGTGTTGTCAGCAAAGGCTCCAGCTCCTAGATTACCGGTAGTTAAGATGTGTGTTCAACAAATATTGATCAATTCATTTCACACTTCAGCAAATGTTTTTGAAAAAATCATAAGTTATTGAGATTATTTTGGGGAAATTACTATTTCAAAATAGAATTTACATAGACTATTACTATTCTGGCTATTAATACCCTAACCCGATTGTAGTACCGGTATATTACATTTAACAGTAACTAACAATAACCCAACCCGGTTATGTGATCATTTACGAAGACTATTTCCTACTGGGATTAAATATGTTCAACTCATACTCATAAATACCAGCGTTAGTACTGGTACTGCCATATGATTTTTTAAATGAAGAAATTACGTTTAATTATATTTTCTTCTTCTTAGTCTTAGCCATTCTCACTCTCACTCCCAATAGAGCATAGGCCATCCACAATACTTTTTCCTCTGTCCCTGTCCTGAGCTATCTTTGCTAGTTCAGCCCAATAGAGCATAGGCCATCCACAATACTTTTTCCTCTGTCCCTGTCCTGAGCTATCTTTGCTAGTTCAGCCCAATAGAGCATAGGCCATCCACAATACTTTTTCCTCTGTCCCTGTCCTGAGCTATCTTTGCTAGTTCAGCCCAATAGAGCATAGGCCATCCACAATACTTTTTCCTCTGTCCCTGTCCTGAGCTATCTTTGCTAGTTCAGCCCAATAGAGCATAGGCCATCCACAATACTTTTTCCTCTGTCCCTGTCCTGAGCTATCTTTGCTAGTTCAGCCCAATAGAGCATAGGCCATCCACAATACTTTTTCCTCTGTCCCTGTCCTGAGCTATCTTTGCTAGTTCAGCCCAATAGAGCATAGGCCATCCACAATACTTTTTCCTCTGTCCCTGTCCTGAGCTATCTTTGCTAGTTCAGCCCAATAGAGCATAGGCCATCCACAATACTTTTTCCTCTGTCCCTGTCCTGAGCTATCTTTGCTAGTTCAGCCCAATAGAGCATAGGCCATCCACAATACTTTTTCCTCTGTCCCTGTCCTGAGCTATCTTTGCTAGTTCAGCCCAATAGAGCATAGGCCATCCACAATACTTTTTCCTCTGTCCCTGTCCTGAGCTATCTTTGCTAGTTCAGCCCAATAGAGCATAGGCCATCCACAATACTTTTTCCTCTGTCCCTGTCCTGAGCTATCTTTGCTAGTTCAGCCCAATAGAGCATAGGCCATCCACAATACTTTTTCCTCTGTCCCTGTCCTGAGCTATCTTTGCTAGTTCAGCCCAATAGAGCATAGGCCATCCACAATACTTTTTCCTCTGTCCCTGTCCTGAGCTATCTTTGCTAGTTCAGCCCAATAGAGCATAGGCCATCCACAATACTTTTTCCTCTGTCCCTGTCCTGAGCTATCTTTGCTAGTTCAGCCCAATAGAGCATAGGCCATCCACAATACTTTTTCCTCTGTCCCTGTCCTGAGCTATCTTTGCTAGTTCAGCCCAATAGAGCATAGGCCATCCACAATACTTTTCCATCTGTCCCTCTCCTGGGCTATCTTTGCTAGTTGAGCCCAGCTTTTCTTCATTCTCTTCACCTCTGTCTCTACTCCCATCTTCCATGTGGTTCTTGGTCTTCCTCTTTTCCTGGCACCTTGAGGATTCCAATTCAGGGCCTGTCTTGTGATGTTAGTGTTTGGTTTCCTTAATGTGTGCACTATCCATCTCCATTTTCTCATTTCTATCTCCGTTTCCACCGGAATACTTGATGTTCTCTCCTAAAGGACAGTGTTACAAATTTTGTCAAACCATCTTATTCTGAGGAAGCATCTGTTTATAAAACAGATTTTTAATGTTTGATTTTACTGTTCTCCAAGTCTCACAGCCATACAGAAGAAGTGCCTTGACATTTGAGTTGAATATTTTTAACTTTGTTTTTGTCAGTATTTCACTTGAGTTCCAGGTGTTTAGCAGGGCATTGAATGCTCCTCAGGCCTTTTGGACCCTAGACTTTATGTCCTCATCTGTGCCACCATTTTTATTTATGATGCTTCAAGGTATGTAAAGGTCTCAATTTCTTCAAGAGAGGCTCCTCTCAAGTTAATCCCAATGACTCCACTATTACTATCCACTGCATTTATTCTTAAGTCAAGTTTTGTTGTTCTCTCCTGCATTTGTTCATGGCTATGTGATACCAAATTTGCCACATGTCAAAGGTCCATTCAAGTAATTTAACACATTTTTGGGTTGGTGATAGGGTTGGTGATCATAGATCTGATTCTAGTGGCACCTATGTTTCCTGTATAATTTATAATACACCATACACATTATCTTTCCAATGTCAGTGTTAGGGCCTCACCTCTGTTTTTCAATAAATATCAGAAGCTAAATTTAACTTAAAATTTAAATATTAACCGTCAATGAATCTGAGAAATGTATAAGTCTAAAAGTATTGAAACTGTTTTTTATTCCCAGAGTATGGTATCTGTTTATTCCCAGAGTACCGGTATCACAAAGGTTCACTCTAAAATTCATAACAACAAAACAAATGATCAACATCTCGCTATGGTAATATTTGGACTGACCGATAATTGGAGTATCACCAACCCTGCCTGGTCTTTTGGCTGTTATTCCACCAGTCGATGTGGCACTGGCTAAATTGCCTTGAGTGTCTAGTGCAACAGCTCCTACTGTATCACATCCACTACGTTTTGGGACTAGGTCTCTGAAAAATAGCAACTGATTACTAGTTTAATTGGATCTCTAAGAGGGTTGTAGGTATTTTTTCTCAATTTTCAATTTAAAATGCTCTAACTATAATTATAATAAATAATATTATTCAATAAAGAAGCTTGAGATGTACGGGTATTCTAAAATATTGTTTAGATAAACTTTTGTGAGCAGCATTTTGCTGTAAAACTTAAACTGGATAGTGCCACATCCAATGAAATGAATAGAGTTGCAGAATGACCTTGCAGAAAATAAGGATTTAACAGTCGTAGAATATTGCATATATCTCTCCCACTCGGCTTTGGCTCCTTCGGTGACCAGCTCATATTTAGACAACCTGGGAATGTTCTGTTCTCTAGCAAAGTCATTAGCACCTTGTCCCACAAGTAAACAGTGGTCTGTCTGTTGGAGGGGTTCAGGAAATAATTTAAATTTAAGACAAGCAATAGTATATACAAAATCAATCTGCAGTGACTCTACTGGGAATGTACAGTACTGGTAGTGGTATTGTTCAGTTAATCAGGGTCATATCCCAGCAGTGTTAAAATCCTCATTTAATCAGGGACATATCCCAGCAGTGTTAAAATAATATTTTAATCATGGACATATCCCAACAGTGTTAAATCATCATTTAATCAGGGACATATCGCAAGTGTTAAAATAATCGTTTAATCAGGGACATATCACAACAGTGTTAAAATAATCGTTTAATCAGGGATATATCCCTACTGTGTTATATTAATTATATGACGTTAAATTGCATCTTTCAAATTAAACATCTCTTAAGACATCATATTGTACCCATACAATTCAAATAAATCATTTCTTATTAAGATACCAGATTCTACAATTGTACTCATACTTTTCCAATTAAAAAATTTCAAAAGAATTAAGAAGTTAGGCAGGTGAGAATGTTTTAAAACTAAAAATTTAAATTTTCAAATTGCTTCATCTGAATTAATTAGTGTCCATTTTCACAGTCTTGCCTGTATTATAATTTAAATTATAATAGTTGCAAAGTTTACATTTAGCTTTTTATTTGATATGTGTTACTTATGAGACAGGCCATCAGTAAATGACATCACACATTTAAAAAGGGGAGGAGGGAGATGTCCATGAATTATCTCATTGTGCTAACAATTTTGAATGACTGGCTTTGGGTGTGGGGGGGGGGGGGGTGTTAAAAAAAGAAGTAAAACATAGTGTGACATCAATTATGGATGTCTACATAACCAACATTTATGTACCGGTACAACTTAGTACAGTTCAAGGGTTTATCTGACCTTGTCCATAACCAGTTTTGCCAACTGTACCGGGTTAGCAATATCTTGTACAGCAGCTACAGCACCTGAATTTAAGTTGTTCCCATCTATAACAATGGCGTCTAGCTCCACTTCACCTTTCATGTTAAGTACTGCCCCATGACCTGTTAGCATGCAAGGATAAAAGGGGAGGTAGGATTTATTGATTCATTGTGGGGGGTGGGGGATGAACACTTACTTAATCTTTATCATGATATTACAAAATGACATAATTTCACTTGTACTTATAAGTTATAGCTTGCTACACGTTTGCTCTCTGTCTCTACTTCACTGTTCATAAGTGTAGCTATGCCACTGGTTGTAGCTATGCCACTGGTTGCAGCTGTGCCACTGGTTGCAGCTGTGCCACTGGTTGCAGCTATGCCACTGGTTGCAGCTATGCCACTGGTTGTAGCTATGCCACTGGTTGCAGCTATGCCAATGGCTGTAGCTATGCCAATGGTTGCAGCTATGCCACTGGTTGTAGCTATGCCACTGGTTGCAGCTATGCCAATGGTTGCAGCTATGCCACTGGTTGTAGCTATGCCAATGGTTGCAGCTATGCCACTGGTTGCAGCTATGCCACTGGTTGTAGCTGTGCCACTGGTTGTAGCTGTGCCACTGGTTGTAGCTATGCCACTGGTTGTAGCTATGCCACTGGTTGCAACTTAGTTAGGTGCTTGATTCAAACACAAAATTTCAAATTGGAAGTACACGTAGTCAAATATAAATATTTATGTGTTGGAAGTGAAAGTAAAAAAAAAAAAAAAAGTAGGAGTAGGTAAGTCGTGTTTTGATAAATCAGTAAATTGCATGGCATAACTTAATAATGAAAGATAACCGTGTACAAAAGACGTACCAGCATCAAAGATAGGGTCGTCCTCCATCACCGACACAGCTGCCACCACAGCATCCACAGCACTGCCTCCATCCCTCAGTACATTAAAACCTTTTAGCACAGCATCTTTGACACCATGCAAACTCCTCTGTCTTGCCTCGTCGGGGATAGCCCAAGCCCCACCATGAACGATAATGGCAGGCTCCATTCGAAATTATTTGAACTCTGGCACAGAATGGTATGTCTACTTAGGTTCCCACAATGCCTTTAAAATGGAGCAAAGTGACGTAAAGAAACTACTGCTACAACAGTAAATTCAGGACGTACATTTAATTGTAAAAAAAGAGAAAACAATCTAAATGATATATGAATGAGGCAGTAGCGTTGAAAGGCTGGACGTCGCCTTAGGGCGTCGATCGAGTTTGAGCACCGTTAATTTATACCGTACTCGGTATGATACTAAAATTCAACAATGTCCATTTTCTTATTTTGAAAAAGATGTCATTTAAAGTGAGCTTCATGCCGTCATGCTACGGCTGGCACTGACAACAAATACTAATGTCTAATTCAGGAGGTCTAAATCTTACGATGTCCCATCAACTCTCTGAAAGTAGACCCCAAAGTTATAGCTATACACTATAGCTAATAGTGAACAAAATTTACCAGACTTCATAATTGTTGATCGGTGATAACCTAATTTTGATATGGACTTTCCCAGTGATAACCTAATTTTTTTTATACTGGTAAGGATTTCAGTGCTTGCTCAACCTTTCTTTGATTTTAATATTTGAAGTAGGCAGTATCATTAGGCTTAATTCTCAAGAATTCTGATAAGCCAAATCAGGGGCGTCCACGCAGGGAGTGGGTGAGGAGGGGTTTAAGAAGCAGTTGATTCCATAATTCAAAAAGGGTGGGGGTAAAATCCACCCTGACTGCCTTTTGAATTTTTTCAGATAACATAAATAATGTGGGAAAGAAAACAATACAATCACTCGAGATTTTTTCTTTAAAAATTATGTTTTTTTTTTAATGGGCTAGAGGGATATTTGTAAGGAGAAAAATATTTATAACATTTGTCTTGCTTAGGCGAGGACATGAACTCCCATACATTATAGAACGATACGTGTTTAGACGGAATTTTAAGAAGTATAGGCCTACTACAATTCATTTTAGGTCATATTAATTTTATTTGCTGAAAATGTGAAATAGTTTATCATCTCATGATATTATATTGAATAGTTAACCATTGTAGAACAATTTTTCAACTGTAAATATTTTCATTTCTTAATATTCACAGAGATCTCCCAAATTGAACTCCACTACTAAGACTGGCATGATACATAATGGCCGCAGTACTGGGCACCGTTAGTTAGCCCGAAAGTCAAAGGTAGAGGTATGAGGGTAGGGAGGTTGGCTTCTAGCACTCGGGAGAGGGGGGTTAGACGCCCGCTGAGCTAAACTTACAACAAGGCTGGTCATCTTTGGTGAGACACTTAAGTACAAGCAAGGAACAAACCTACAACTACGCTGGTCATCTTTGGTGAGACACTTAAGTACAAGCAAGGAACAAACCTACAACTACGCTGGTCATCTTTGGTGAGACACTTAAGTACAAGCAAGGAACAAACCTACAACTATGCTCGTCATCTTTGGTGAGACACTTAAATACAAGCAAGGAACAAACCTACAACAAGACTGTTCATCTTTGGTGAGACACTTAAGTACAAACAAGGAACAAACCTACAACTATGCTTGTCACCATTGGTGAGACACTTAAGGAACAAACCTACAACTATCCTCGTCATCTTTGGTGAGACATTTAAGTACAAGCAAGGAACAAACCTACAACAAGCTTTAAAAATATCACGCAATGTTGTGTAGGAATTATCATCATAATGTTGCCATTTTTTTTTTCGAAAATGAACTAGCGAGATATCGCTTCCATAGTACTCATAAGTAGCAGCATTACAGTAATATTTCGTCCACTGTATTTTCAATTTGTTAGTCCTATAATGTTTCGATTCCCGGCGCTTATGCCAAATTTAAGTTTCCACCATTCTTTTGCCAGCCTCTCGGATACTAGTTTTCAGTTGAGTGCTATTTTTTTTTAAATTTAGTTGTTGTTTTTTTTTTACTGTTGTTTTTACACTGCGGAGGAAATGCACCTGGGGCGAAGCCGGAAAATATTGCCACTTAATATTTTAAAAAAGTGCCCCCCCCCCCGGCGGATCTAAAGTCTTTCTGAAGTTTATGGGATTTGATATTTTAATTCACTATCATATCTAAAGAAGATTTTGGCGCCCGCTGTGACTGCCCTCTTTTCAACATTCTCATGGCTCTGGCAACATGGCACCCAGTGTAATACAAACATCAGTCGTTTTTAGTGCGTCTTTTACTGCGTTGTTAATATTGGGAAAAAAAAATTATAATTATAATTTGTTCTAAATAATCACGAAATGACGTCATAGCATGAATAGCCTATTTCTCCAAAACTCTTAGGTTTCTTTAAATTTAATAACCGCGCCTGACAAAACTGATCATGCATTTTCCCTTCATACACGTAAAATTAATAAATACAATTGATTACTATTTAAATTGATAATAAAACACACAGACATTTTACCTTTGTATATTTTAACATCTAAAAAGTTTTGCCTTTTTTTTATTCCAAAAATATACTTATATTAAATTTATAACGTAATAAAAAGTAACATGTAAATAGAATTCTAATAACAAAATGCCGTTTAAGTCAATGAGTGCAGGGAAACTCCATATCCAACTAGCATTCAATAATCCACTTATAACTGATCCTAATAAGAACAACCATATGAAATGCAAAATAGGTTAGTTTGGGTATGGAAGGGATTACAATCCGGTGAAAGATTGTACCGGTATTAATTTTAATAAAAAAATCTTGAGGGGGTGTGGTTATTTTGCCCCAGGCAGCACAAGATACGTCTCAAAATAAATAAATGAATTTGATAATAAATAATTAACATCCTTGGGTACATACATATCGGAGCTAGTAAATAGGATGTGTACATTTTTACGTGGATGACAATATATTTAAATCCTATGGTATTACCTTTGTGATAAAAGAGATGTTACATTCTCTTTTTAAAGATAAACATATGCCAAACAATTAAGAAAATCAATAGCGTTAACAAAACGTGGGTACATGTAGATAAATATACTCATGAATATTAAAACCCAATCATTTCACACACTTGAAAATTTAATTTTGAAAAATGGAGATGGGTTAATATTTCTTTCTAAAAAATGAAAACATATTTTTGTTTTACTTTGCGAAAATTAAAGTGGGTGTATATTTTTATGAGATTAACAATTTATTTTGTTGTTTTTGTTCCAAAAGACACACAAATCTGTTATAGACGTGAACAACGGTTGCGAGTTTCTTCGAAAGGTAAAAGAACTCTTTTCTGATAATGTATAATTTTTAAAAAAGGCAAAAAAGTGTTTAAATTTTTGAAGATATCAATATATATCGAATTCCTGTAATATAAAATATATTTATATAATTTATAGAGTTTTTGTTGTAAATTTAAGATTAGGTTTTTTAACAATATTTAGAGCGTGAAGGGGAGTAGGGTAGGCGTATAACATATAGCAGATAAATACTTCTCAAAACTCAATGATGTTAGAAACGTAAATATCATTACGTTTTTAAAGTTATGAATTGTGATGAGTTTTTGCAATAGCAGTTAGAAATTGTCGCAAAGGAGCTACCATTATTATCCCGATAACATCGCGTCATTTATTCTAGTTTTAAAGAATAAAATAAAATCTTTGTTCAGTTATGAAAATTTTGTGGCCGACAGACAGAATGAGTGACAGTCTGACTTGTGGCAAACGGCCGAAAGCCTCAATCACTTTTGGACGAAAGGGAAAATAAACCATATTTTAACTTTTCTGTTTCGGCCGAATCCGAAGCTACGCCGGAAGTGATCGAACGGCAACTTTTAGAGCCGAAAACGGTTCCAGGTTTCCGGTTGACAAGTCTGCTGTGGCTTGCCGACTAGGAAGCGTCGGCCACCGACCCCCTCGGCGTGTGCCTGGAAACATAACTACTGGGCACGCCCCGCGTGGGCAGACAAAGGGTGTGCTCGGTACCTGCCGTACATAAAACAGCTCCCACAGGACTGCCGGTTGTGATATTTCGCAGTCGGAAAGTTAGGCAGAGCCAGGGTAGGGATCATGATTACAAGTTGCCTTTGATGGGTATGAGGCAATAGGCGAGGGTTGTAACCTCTGGCCGAGGATTCAAATAATGCAGCCGTGAGAACGCTGCCCCTAGGCAACCGTTTCGTCCCAGCTACAGCGTGAACTAGTCGCGTTGTGGAAACCCACTGTGGAATCCCTCTTATAGGGCGTCCGACGCTTTCCCGGGATGGGTGGGGGAAGATATTAGGACGTACATTTTTCCATCCCAACTCCTGAGAAAGTCGATCGAGTGCACTATTTAAACGCATAGTGTCGGATCTACCGGATGCCTCCTGGTTGGGGCGGCTCCCAGGCGGGATCCTGGTCGAGCGCCCAGGTGCCCAGGCGGGGGACTTGGGTGAGGGGCCCATGTGGGGGCCGTCCTGACGAGTGGGTATCTCCAACGTGCCGCTCCGCGGCCCGATACGTCGGACCGGAGAGGGGTAATTTGGGGGGGGGGGGCATAAGAGTCTAGACTCGCCCCGCTGATGCCATTTCTTAATGTAACATTTCAGAGCCAAAAACGAAACGAAATTCGGTCAGCCTCCAGTATCAACACATTATTTAGATCAAGTTTTGTAAATTAGTAAAGTAGAGGGTTGATTTCAAGAATGCAATTTATCCGAAACGTCGATTACCCGAATGAACTCTTTTTTATTATCATTATTTTCAATGACAACGCGCATGGCATTATATTTTGTATAGAAATGATTCAAAAATAGAAATAGAAAAATAAAAACAATATAGTATTTTCTTGTTTTTGACAGTTCAAAAGTAAGGACCTATACGTTTCACCAGGGGTCAAGTCCTTGAAAAAGTGTTGGGAACTCACCCTAAGTCCCCCTCCCGAAACAAATATGTATTTAGTACTTTGCAACAAAACAACAGGAACGCCGTCCGGAGCCATTTGTTTAACTAAATGTAAATATAAAAACTGGCAGTAGATTTATTCAAACATATAAACATAACAAAACAAAGTCTGTCTAAACATAACAAAAGATAGTCTGTCTAAACATAACAAACATAGTCTGCTACACATAACAAAACATAGTCTGTCTAAACATAACAAAACAAAGTCTGTCTAAATACCAAGCTTTGTAAAGGGACGTTATTTCAGGATTTTTCAGGGCGTGGAGGGGGGGGGGGGGGGGAAACCAAATTGGACGGGGGTGTTGGGTTGTTTATTCCTGGGGGGGCTACAGTACTTGTAATTTTAAATAAAATCTGCAAATCAAGGAGGAGGGGGGGTAAAGGGGCGTTATTTCAGGATTTTTCAGGGGGGGGAGGGGGGGGGGGAGGAAACCAAATTTGACAGGGTTGTTGAGTTGTTTATTACTGGAGGCGCTACAGTACATATCAATTTAAATAAAATCTGCCAATTCAGGAGGAGGGGGGGCATAATGCCCCCAGCCCTATCCACATGACGTCCATGCTTTGTAGGGTAATAAGAAGCAATAAGCATCCGTACTCAAATATAAAGCACAGAAGG